ATACTGCAGATATTAACGAGATGTTTCAACATCATTCGTCTTGGTATTTATTGAAACGTAGTATGGCCTGGATTTTGAAGGTACGAAAAGAACTGTTAAGACGTGTTCGTGTGAAAAGACTCAATTCTCACTCACTGGTACAGGATGATTCTTGTGATGAGGCTTTCATTTTATATGAGGACTTGAAAGAAGCAGAAAGAGCTATACTTACTTTCATTCAACGGCAAGAATTTCCTACGGAAATAAATACCCTTATGTCAGGAAAATCTAGTATCTTTTGCGAGTCGGTGGTCGTTTACACAAGTCAAGTTTTCCAGAGGAGATGAAACATCCAGTGATTTTACCCAAAGATCATCATGTGTCCACTCTAATTCTTAAACAAATTCATCAGGATTTATTACACAGTGGCAGAAATCATATGCTAGCAAAGTTGAGAGAACGTTACTGGCTTATCCATGCTCCATCATATCAAAGTGTTTTACTTGTAGACGACAGAGGTCTAAGGTCGGAGAGCAGAAGATGGCAAGTCTACCCAAAGATCGCATTATCCCAGATGAACCACCATTTAGCAGATGTGGTGTCGATTACTTCGGACCATTTGAAGTCAAAGTGAAACGTAGCCGTGTGAAACGTACGGTGTTATATTCACTTGCTTAGCTAGTCGTGCAGTGCATCTAGAGATAGCAGCTTCGTTGGATACAGATTCTTACATAAATGCACTACATCGTTTCATAGCAAGAAGAGGACAAATAAAGAAAATACGTTCCGACAATGGAACTAACTTTGTTGGTGCCGAACGTGAACTTAAAAAATCCATACAAGAATGGAACCAAGCACAGACCCAATCTGCGATGTTACAAAAGAATGTAGACTGGCAGTTTAACCCACCAGCTGGATCACACTACGGGGGAGCCCGGGAAAGGTTAATTAGATCTATTCGTAAAGCCATGAATAGTGTACTAAATGAGCAGACACTTGATGATAAAGGACTTCATACTCTAATTTGTGAAATTGAATATACAATCAATATACAATCAACGACCGACCAATAACAAAGAACACGGATCAACACTGTGAGTTGGAGCCACTTACTCCAAACCATTTGCTTTTGATGAAAAGGAAACCTAACCTACCTCCAGGAGTCTTCGAAGACAGATCTGTACCACAGACGCCGTTGGAGACAGATACAATATATGGCCAACTTGTTCTGGCATCGTTGGGTACGCGAGTACCTACCACTTCTCCAGAAACAACAAAAATGGCATGATATCAAGAGAAACTTTCAAATCGGTGATATTGTGTTAGTTGTAGATTCGAACGCTCCAAGGAACTCTTGGCCGATGGGAGCAGGGCATGAGACGATTCCTGACAAAAATGGACTCGTGCGTCAGGTGAAAGTGAAAACCTCGACAAACATTCTAACGCGACTGTCGACAAACTGTGCATGATCTTAAAAATGGACTAAGAGACTGTTTGAGATGTGCTTACTAAGAAACTTTGAAAATATGAATATTCTTCTTTATCATATATTGAATTTGCTAGGTATCATGTTTATCATGTGCATATATAATTTCTGATGAGAATTAAGTACAGTGTAACCTGTTTAACTTGCATTGTATTTTTATACAATTTTTGGGTTAATGGATATAATGTATCTATTTTTGTAATTGTGTCACATTTGTTCCACAATTAGGGGGCTGGATTGTTACAGCCATTTCGGTAACTAGACTGTTTAGGGTCATTAGTGTGATGTGACGTCATCGTTTCTGGGGCACAGTAATTTTTTGTGTAGAGCCCGTGTTATCATGGTAGAACGCGGCAGGGCTTGGTGCCGCAATTGTAACCAGTTTGCCATTTGCTAGTTTTCTATGTTTTCCATTCTTTGTACTGATATTTATATCACCGGAGGAAACTTCTAATTGGTGAGTTTATCTATGTAAATCATTTAGCTGTATACACTGTATATTTGTCATCTCGGTAAATTTAAAATATTTTATGAATCTCGCTATAAAGTTATTGTTGAAAGTACATGTACACTAATGTTGGAGTTAGTAATTATAATGCAATTAGTAAGTTAGGTACATTATTGACATAGTACATATTGTAATTTCGCTGGATATGTGCACACTTATTACGTACTGGAGATAACTCTTTTTTCTGCCATGTTTTTCTATCATGATTTCTGTCAAGAAGAATTATGCCTCTTTGTTTACAATATGACGACAGTTTCTGTGTATTGAAATATTTTCTAGAACGTGTAATACATCATGATTATTTGCTAGGATGTGTTATCATGTGTAACTTGCTTGAAATATCTTGTATTTATAGTTTTTTTCTTGTATTTTTTGTAGTAAATCGTCTACTTCTATGTCAACGTCATTTCCATGTCAACTTCAACTTCAAGTCATATTTCCACGTCATTGTCATCGTCATATCTCATCATCCTCATAGATAAAATCACTGGACGCATTTACAGCGTTGTTTCCTTAATTTCCTGTCCCGAGTCAGTACAGGCTACATCGTAATTTTTTTATTAAGTTCGCAAAGAAATAATCATACCAATATTATCAGATATTTCTAATAAGTTTTGTCTTAGTTTTAAGACAAAAGTGTTTGACAACGAAATGATGACAGCTTGCTTTCTTTAAATGTGTTATGTATTATCAGTGCTACTTGAATTTATTACAGTGAAATTCTTTGTGTTTAAATGTGTACTACAGTGTACCTTTATTTCCACACAGAAATAGTTTGAGAGCTTGTGCACAGTTTGAGTACTTCCCATATCTTATGTCGATCCTGGTGAGCTTAAAATAAATGATACATGTACCACATCTGCTTCATATTTAGATATATTACTTCAGAAGCTTTATGATAAACGTGATGACTTTAAACTTTAAAATCGTCACCTTCTCGTACTCATGCAGTTTTATGCCTTTATCAACTGCAGATAGAGTTTATATATCTCAGTTTATTCGATACGCAAGAGCACGCTCTACGTTTGATCAATTTCTAAAACGAGGTAAATTATTGACAAGCAAGTCGATGAAATAAGAATATTAGCAGTCTCGTTTAAGGTTATCATTTCGGAAGTTCTATGGTCGATACAGTGACCTTGTAAGCAAAAACAATTTTTCGTTCAGTCAAATGCTGACTGGCGTTTCATATTTATTGGTAGTCCATTATTTATACACTGAAATGAAAACGGATTTTCCATTTATTTCCCGATCATGACATGCAGCACACGCAGGTGTGACCGGTCAGCAGGGGATGCCCAATCTTCCATGGCACCTGATCCAACCTCTGATGTTTTGACGGTCCGTGTTTCCTCTGCTTCAGTTTTGTATTCTTTAATGGTCTTTTGATCTGAATATTGTTCGTTATCTCCATATGTTTCATTTTGTAGTCTTGTGAAAGATACACAATGTCATGTTGTAAGATTATTAATTAGTTAACGATTATTCTTATTTGTACGCTTTAATTAAGTCTCTATCCCTGTACATATTCATGCAAGTAGCTGCAGAGATTAGTTGCAAATTAAGTGTGACGATTAACTTAATAATTCTTATTGTTCTGTACCATATGCAATATCATAACCTCAAATACATTTTTATTAAACTTTCATAGAAGAGAAACAAAACTTATACTGATTTTTTGTCCAATCTCTAATATGCTGTTTTATGCTCCCGTAATCGAAGATTCGGGAGTATATAGTTTTTGCCTTGTTCGTCAGTATGTTTGTCTGTCTGTTTGTCCGGAAAAACTGTAATCTTCATCTTAACTTTTGACTGGATGGGACTACGGGTTTCATATTTCACAGGTGTAATCCTTGTTGCAAGACCTATCTTGGGTTATCGCCTTGATCTTAGAGTTTGACACTTTCACACAAAGATACCTGACTTTAACTTTGTCAATCACTTTTGAACACTTTGTGCTAAGACTGTCATATTTCACACATGTTTTCTTTTTGGCAAGTCCTTTCATTGGATACCAACAACTTTGACCATTAGACCTTTACCTGGGAAATTGACCTACTTCTAAAAACTTTAACCTTGGTCATAACTTTTGACTGCATTGGACTATGGGTTTCATATTTCACAAGTAAATTCCTTGTTGCAAGACCTTTCTTTGGTAATCGCCTTGATCTTAGAGTTTGACACTTTTTTACACAAAGAAAGCAGACTTTAACTTTGACTATCACTTTTGAACGGTTTGTGCTAAGACTTTCATATTTCACATATTTTCCTTGTGACAAGTCCTTCCATTGGATACTAACAACTTTAACCATTTGACCTTGAACTTGGAGATTGACCTACTTCTAAAAACTTTAACCTTGTCATAACTTTGTAAACTTACAGGCTAAGGTTTAATCCTTGTGACAATACATAAAACTTTGATCCTTCGACCTTGACTTTGGCGTTTGACCTAAAATTAAATCACTTAAATGATGGTCATAGTGTTTGAACTGGGGTGCTATGGCTTTCATTTTTATACAATTGTATTTTATTTTGAGAATGCCTTACGTTGGGTACAAACATATCTGATTTGCACTTGAAAATGTTTTAACCTTCGCTACGTTGCCATACATCAGAATTTCGCAAACACGCCTTTTTGATTTTATAATTTTAATATTATTATTCTATTAATATGTATTTTCGTGTGACAGAACAGCATATTTCATTTCTAAGGATATGACTTAAATTATAAATAATTTCCTATGATTTAAAGTACATTTGTAATAGTTTAATCCCCTGAGAGTCTCATTCATAAAAAAAGTCAACATCAACCCCGGTTATTAAAGTCTATGTATAACATCAGTTAATTAAATCCACTATTGTTAAAAGTAATTTTATGTTAACGTTTTCTCTCCGGGCCTATTAAATATTTTACTCCTAGAGGTTGTCATTTTCAACTAAAATCCATTTATAGTAATAAAACGTTTGACGTTTCTCATATTTGGAAAGAATAATTTGTGTCTGCTCTTATTGTTATTGCTAACTCACCTGCAGTACCACTGTACACACTGACTGTCAATTTGAATTTTTGGGACTCGCTTCCAACAGAAAACTTGGAGTACTTGGCAAAGGCTTTTTCGCCGGAAAATTTCTGAAGGTCCACTCTTAGTTCATATTGCCTCCTTTTAGTGAGTAAGTGAATGGGTTCATTTCCTAAGAAAAAATTAGTGACTATTACAGAAGTACTAGTATAGCAAACAGACAAACCAATATAGCCAATATATAAAAACGTAACGCAGTTAAAGAAAACTCAACTGGATATCTACTTGGTGCAATCGTATCCTTAATTGAAATTCAACATTTACAACAGTTTACTTCAAAATATTTCCATTTTTATTTGTTTTCTCTGTGATAACCCTTTGAACATTATTTGACTTGACTTCTTGATAATTTTTCGCAAAGAAATCGGCTGGAGGCTAAAGAGGCCTTATATGCATGTAAATCTCGTGCGTATCTTCTCTGTGTCTTACGTTGAAAAGGCCTAATATGCATGTAAATCTTGTGAAGCTGTGTTTGATTTGACATAAGTGGGTGGACTTTTAAAATTTAAATTGGAGGCCTCGTGTAATTTAATCTATTAGACAACATTTTTAAAATCTAAATTTACAATTTTATTTCATAATAATGTAATGGAGATATAAAGAATCACTGTCTAGTTATTAGAGTATGTCAGGGACATCAAGGATAGTTGGAAACGTGGGATTTACTGTAACGTGGTATTAGCTATCATAATGGTACTTTTTTGTTAGGACTAGCTCAAAAGTCCATTGAAAAAATGGAACAATAGAAATTAGAAGCTGAGCAGAAAGGACTCTATAAATATCTGACCAAAGGTGGAATCTCAAAATTAATTCAAATTGGCGATCGTTATTGTAAGAATATGTTCAGAAAAAAACGAACAATACATTACATATTTGTGCATAAATTCTTAAATAATTTAAGAAATAAAGATGAGAAGGTGATAAAAGAAAAAAAACGAAAAGCATAATTTTTTATTGTTGTTAAATAATAAATGAAATGAGCAGGTCGTAAAAATGAATAATGTTTAGTGGTTTCTGAGTGTAGAAAAAAAAAGATGTACATGTAATCAAAGTATTTTGAGAAAAAAAAAACATTTTTTTGAAAGTTCTTTAACAGTTATGAGGAAATAATATCTCGTTGAATGTACCAAGAAGCCTAATTTGAATATGTATAAGCTTAAGATGCTTCTATATTAATTTGACTAATTATTGATTTGCTTTTCTTGGGAAGAAAATTCTTTTAGGGTTTTTCCCTACATGTAAAATATAGTTCCCATTGTTGCTCCCTCCGACCCTCCGGGGTCATGTTTTGAAGAAATTTAAATACCTTAGGATATGCCCATATAACTATGACTAATCATGGCTTTGTTGTTCTTGAAATAAAATTTCAAAAAATGTTTCACTATATATATTTTATATCAAACTTTGATCACCAATTTTTGCCCCATCCTACCCCTAGAGTTCTGGATTTGAACAAACTTGAATCTTAACTATCTGAGGATACTTTCATATTAATATGACTATCATGGCGTTGCTGTTCCTGATGAGATTTTAAAAGAATTAATAATAGTTGTTTCAACGGTTTGCAACATAAACCAGACCCATGTTTCAAAAGAATATATCCCAGTTTGAGTTCAGTATACATGCATACCAAAAATTTCTTTGAAATGTCTAATTTAGTTTGTTATTAATTGGTTTTAAATAATTGAATGCATGTAAATTCATGGATCTATTAGGATACATAAATAAATATACCAATAAACTTGGGGGATGGGTATCCATTTAATTCATATGATGGACAATCAATTTATATCTTACCTAACCAATATTCTCCCTCCACATTGCCGAATCCTTCTTTGTACGAATCCCAGGATCTATAAAAATCTACCGATCCGTCCATCCTCTTATTGATAACCTACATGTGTAAAGAAAATATATTTAATCAAGCATAATTATGATTATTGCCCGGTACTCTTTAGTCAATATTACAACTTTAACTATGAAAATACAGGAAAACATATCTTAACCAAAAGAAAATATAATATACCTAAAATAAATGAATTATAAAAAGCTAATTACACGTCATCATGAAATTTCTTACCGTCCAATCCCCTCCCTCTGTAGTCATGTCACAGTACACCAGTTTCTTTGTGTTCATATCCGGGTATATAGAGTAGACGCCATCTTTCCCTTTTGTTTTGGGCATGAATTTTAGAATTGATGCGCAGTCTCTTTGCTTTTGGAGTTCTGTTTGTGAAGATTACATTTTACATGTACAGTTACTGTTTAATTCTTTAAAAAAGATTTAAATCCTACATAGAGTAAATATAAGTTCTTTTTAAAAATATATTGTCACCATTCATTAACTTCTATTTCAAAGGAAGGCGGAGACATTTTTACATAAAAAATAAAGAATACATGTACTTCTCACAATAACTATATTTTTAGGTGCTCTTTGCTATTAAAAACATATGTACTTACTCTGGTACGTGTTAAAATGTTTCCCAGTAAGTCTATAGTGGAACAGAAGAGAAATGTTCACAGATACCGGGGTGTCCACTTTGACGAATGTGTTCAGGTGTTTCCAGCTCTAGGGAATTAACCTCAGTAAAGACTCAACATTTCCTGATATAGATATCACACTGAACAATTATAGGAAGTACATTGATATTCAAAAGTACCCTGTTAACATTATGTTGATTTTGAATATCTAAAATGAAAAAAATAAAATTATTTATACCATTCGATTTTAAAATTCAATAAAATACCAATATTTAAAATACCTTTCAGAGCGGAACGTGGTGCAATACAAACAATGTTTGTAATGCACAAAAACAAACACCACACATAGAAACTATTTTGAACAAATGCCATATTACTTGTAATATACGTTACTTCACTAAGTATACTATATATACTTCAATGTGTCACAATTAAAATGTAACACGATACTCTGGTTTCGTGAAAATTCGTATCAATAGATGCATGTTACATTTCTAAAGACAGATAAGGGCCATGCCTTATTTTTGACAGTCTGTGCTCTTGTAAAGAAATCACATGAAATCTTCCCACGAGTAAACGTGTACATTACACAGAATCTACATTTATGTCTTCTAATGCTTATAGGCAAGATCACCGCAGCTTGTTTTTGCTAATTTTGTAAAAGTCAAATAAAACACTTTCATGTTGATGAATAATGTCATTTATTAAAATGACGGTATAAATGTGAACAATTTAACAAACAAGAAGGGGGATCAGATTCACAAGCTTTGCTTATCAGTTACGTAAAATATGATAATGTCTGATCCCCCAAAAATGACTAGAAAAAAGTATCTGTAAGACAAGACAATCAAAACATCATTTTAAAAAGTTAGCAAATAGATGGCACATCAAAACAAAATAGGCAAACATCACAAGAAAAAGTTGGCAAAAAGATGGTACATCAAAGACACAATCAAAACCTCAGAAGAAAAAGCTTGCAAAAAGATCGTAATCAAAACCAAATACATAGAAGCGTAAAACAATTGAGTAAAAACTATAATATAAAATAAATTTTACAAGACACATTAATGATCATATTAAGGGATAGGAATGTTGGGGTGGAGGTGGGTCTTCAAAATAGACGTGCTTCAAGTTAGCGGTGGTGAGCGCGCGAGTGTGAATGACTCGCTGAGCTGACCACGTGACCTTACACATTCCATTACAATTAATCCCTCAGGCAAGGCGTGGATCTGAGAATTTTCACAATTTATTAACGTAAATGTTTCCGGAAACCAACAAACAAATTATCGCATTAAATACAAAATACAATAATTATTCTAATAATTGTTGTTTACTGAACAAAACGTGACTGAAATATTGTAACTGTTCCGATTTGAAATAATAAGGTCTTATGTCATTAGTGCTTATACATGTATATTTATGGATATGATATATACATGTATATGTACTTGCATTTCCCAAAGCAGAAAATATTCATTGTAAAAATGCATACCCATATTAAGTAAATTGAAAACTATATTTGAAACTGACTAAAAAGACTACCTGTAGCATCTTGGTTGAAATAAATATCGAAATAGGAAACATCCAGCACTCCTTCCGTATACCCCCCCCCCCCCCCCCGAAGAAAAACGATTCTTTGGTATAGAAAATGCTTGTTAGCTGAGTTATTTTCCAATTGAACTTCTCCTTTATTTTACGCCCATTACAACAGCAACCTAGCATTAGTTGAAAGAATGCAACAAAACAGAATCCTTGAAATAATTATAATTTAGCTCTGTTGATCTTAGTTCGTATTTTAAACAAGTAGATATTTGATCCTTTCCACTGAAAATAAATTGGGAAACTTTTTTTAAAAACCTTTACCTTTAAATAGGTATGGCAATTAATTGAGTAACATTGACAAACACTTTGAATATTCGGAAGGGCCCGGTTAGTTTGACCATCATTTATGTTTGATCAGTTTGTTTGCTGAACATTGCATCTATATTTATATAGGAATACCTTGGCATTCCGTATAGCACTTCAGAATGAAAGCCTTGTCTATAAGTGACATTTTTTGTTGTCATAAATGGGCCTCATCCAAGAAGGGCATAATCTTCATTACATCTTCAACGTTAAAAGGCAAATATTTAGTTTCGTATGAAAATTTTATTTAAATGATTAAAAAGAATCATCCATGCAGTTTCAGCTTTTGAAACTATATTATACACAAATTTTGATATTTTTTATTATGTACATTAAATTTCGAAAATTATCAAAATTCATCTGAAAACCATAGATTTTTGTTTAAGGTTTACGAAAATGGTGCTTGACTATGTAATTAGAATCGCTATAAATTATTTTTCAATTTCAAAACTATAAAAAAAAAAAAAAAAAAACGAGGACGTTTTTGAATGCCCTTCGGCTGCAGGAATCTGGGCGTGCTTGAAAAGTGAAAATTTTATCGATTTGTCACATGAAATTTTAACATTTTTTTTTTATTTCTCGGGTTCCTGTGAAATGTGAAAGGAAAACGATTGCCCAAAAAAGAGTTTTGATTTCCTAAAAAACTAACTTGAAAGATAGCTAGTTCAGACTGTTGGTACAAAATGGCATATTTTTTTAACACGTTTTTTCCTTTTTTCTGTCTTTTGAATTAAGTAAATTTTGTTTATGCAGTTGCTACACCGAGAGCGAAATTAATTCCAATTTTCAACTCTACTTAAACTTTGAGGTAAATTTATATATACACATATCATCCATGCTTTTAATCCTATAGATTTTTTGTGAAGCATTATTCTGTTATTGTTCCTCTTAAGAAAAACGGTCATAAATGTTACAATCTAACAAAGTATTTCAAACTGAATGAAAAGTAACTCCTATGGCTGTTTTTAAAAGCTGACAAGCTATGGTCAACCAACCAGATCATGGACGTTTAAACCAAAAATGATTCGTACAAATGATTCCTGGATATCACACGCCAAATACGCGCATTTTCTTTATAAACTTAAACCAATATCTTCCTTTTTTAAAAGAAAAAAATATCTCAGATTCACGATAATAGTTTTTGACAATGAAATGGAGATAGCTTGCTTTGTTATTTGCGTAATGTAATACATATGTAAAGGGAATCTGTTACGGCTAAAAAAAAATCTCAAATCTGACTACGTTCTATATATATGATTTTTGGGTTTTAAAATCATTTCAATAACAACGACGTTTTTATTTCTCCATGTGAAAAGAAATTCATTATTTCAACAAAAAAAAACATATCAGATGTACTTAGCCATAAGGATTCTTTCCATGCATTAAGTGCATTATGTGCTATTTGTTGCTTTGTATTGTAAAAATGAAACAAATACATGAGTTATTTTGCTCTATCTACGACTCAAAGTTGATCTGGAATTAACCTGTTAAAACCACTTTTACTTAACCAGAATATATAGGTCATATCAAGCATTGGAAGCAAGTTTGTTGACATCCCTCGATGCACCTTTCCTCAGGGAACTCTTGAGACATCGTATGTAGGATCGGGTGATTTGAAGAAGTAAGCATCTCCTGTTGACCGGACACACCAGTCGTCAGTCTTATACATTGATCAGGTAGACGAATTACTACATCGTCAAAGCTTATATAAAGGCAACGGCCTAATAAATAATATAATGCATACTAGTATTTTATAAAACAAAACAACTCAACGATATGTTTCATTCGCTAAAAAGTTCTTTATAACGAACATAAAACTTACTTAAAAACTCTAACGTACGTAGCAACACACTCCCTAGCATATTTTCTAACCATGGTCATCATAATATTAACACACTACATGTTTACACACCGATTTAAAAAATTACCATAAACAAATATTTATTATATTAATTTTTATTATAGTTAAATATAGTCAATACTTTTATGCTATGAAACTTTGCCCTAGAACGTTTGAGATTTACATGTATGGCATTTATATTTTAATTTATATATATTTAAGGTTGTTCATTTTTTGATTTGTATTTGAATATACAATTAACAGCTCCTTTTGACAAAATTGCAAGAATCGGAGAAAATCGGAGAAAATAAGATAAATTATATCAAATTAAAATTCCTACTAAAATAACTTGATTTATTGCAATAAAATATTTGAATATATGGTAAGTTATAGTTAACAATTAGTGACCTATAGTTCACTAATTGTATTCACTACTGTAGACTTCTTTAATTTTACGTGTCTAAAATTTAAAATTTCACGGGTTTTAGAGTGTATCTTGGATATATATATTATTTATATTTATGTTTGGGAGACTGATATTGTTATTATTATTATTACATCGTCATTAGAAGACCTATTAATGTATTCATATAAAGAAGTTTTTTAATCTTAAACATGAGAGGAAAACACTTACTTTTTGACCTTCAACTCAACATTAAGAAATGCCGATACCATTTTGTCCATATTATTATCAATTTAACAACAATAACTTCCATTCAATGTCAATACGATATATCCAAGTAAGGTTGAAATAAAAGATACCACAGATGTCTGTCTATCTGTCTGTCTCATTTTTGGATGTTTTACTAGAAACAGACGTTAATGGTAATCTTACAACATGCATTATGATAAACGTGATGACTTTTAAATCGCCATCTTCCCTTGCTTATGTAGTAATATACTGAGTATGGGATTTTTAGTTAATAGTCAAAACTTGTTATTATTTTTATTCAATTTGATTATAATTTCTCAAATCTGATCTTAAAATCTATACGTATTTTGTAATGAGCAAATTTAAACTTTCGTTCAAAAATTATCAACCCCCTTTATGTATTCAATTGTTCGGTTTTTTTTAAATCTAATATTATTCCACACATATTCAAACGTTACATTACATACATACCCCAAATGAAGGTCAAACTATTGAGGAAAGAATTGTTCAGATTCACAAGAAGAAAAAAACATGTTAGTTATTCTTTATTGATATTTTCGAAATGATTTATTTATTTTACGGGTCTGATCATCATTTTTGCAGCCTTCAATGAAAACCCTTTTCCAAATTTGTCCCAGTTAATACTCTCATCCGTTTTGACGGCAGATTTGAGAAAAGGTCCGTTCAGATTAGAGTCATCACAAGATCCGAACCACCAGCCAGCTTTACCACGAACAGCACAGGAAGTCTTCCAAGAATCATTGTCTGCATCCTTCGTAGAGAACGGTCTTCCAGTACGATGTTTCAAACTATCACCTAAAAGACATTCATTTTTTTTACATTTCTTGTCCCACTTGTTTTGTTCAGTCATTTAATGCTCATTTTTTAGCCAGGTCAGTCACACTCTTTACTACTCTTATGAAAGTTGTCCATATCAAGAAATATCCATTTATATGAATATAAATATGTGCATAAAACGTTGAGGAGGGAAACAATCATTGTCATATTTAGAGGGAAAATTTATTTTTGTTCTAATTGTTATTAATAAATCACCTGCAGTACCACTGTACCCAGTTGCTGTCAATTTGAATTTTTGGGACTCGCTTCCGACAGAAAACTTTGAATACTTGGCAAATGCTTTTTCACCCGTAAATTTCTGAAGGTCTACTCTCACTTCATGTTCTTTCCCTTTAGTGAGTAAGTGAATAGCTTCATTTCCTAAAAAACGAAACCTTACTCTATTAATATTTTTACAGATGTATGGCAAGCAGACAAACCAATATGAAACAACATGAAGAAATTGATGCAGTAAAAACAAACTAAGCTAATATTTCTTCTTGGTGCAATCATATCCTTCATACAAATTTAACAATTTCAACACTTTCGTTCAAAATAAATATATCAAACTAATTAAAAGAAAAAAAAAGAAAATAAAGATAACAAATAGTACTCTCTCTAAAAAAATTGCTTTTGTAGTGAACAAAAATGATTACTATAGTTAACTATAGTAAATACTTTGACTTACTATGACGCCTTACTCTAGAACTTTTTTGAAGATTTTGAAGATTTAGAACGTTTATATTTTTTAAATAACATAACATGTATATATATACATTTAAGTCAGAAATGTCAGAAACATGTTATAATTTTGAAAAATAAATAATATCTACAATATCTCTAAAATTCATAGTAAAAATACTTCAACTATAATAGTGAAAACTTTTTGTTAGGAGTAGTTCAAATGGCGATCAATTACTATATAATTATGAATTATGCTCTGAAAAAAATCGAACCATAAATTTCATATTTGTGAATATATTCTTTGATTATTTAGATAAAAAAGATGAAAAAACAAGAAAACAAAAAATGAACAAGCATTTTGATTTTTTTAAACAATATATGAAAAGTACAGTAAATAAAAATTAATGACGTTTAATGAATATCTGAGTGCACAAATCTTGTATAAACTGATCTAACCCAGATTGTACTCGAATAATTTGGCCAAGAATTTCATTTATTCCCTATAATTTAACTTAAAAATTTTAAATAACAGTGGGTGTAAAAATGTTTGCCCCACCCTACCTCCCGGGGTTCAGGATTTGAACAAACTTGAATCTAAACTACTTGATGAAACATTTTTAAGCCTTGTTTTAAAGGTTTGCAAAATAAACCAAGCCCAATTTTCACTACATTTACCTCAGTTTGAGTTCATACATAAATTTCCTCTAAAATGTCTCATTTTGCTAGTTCAAAATGGGTTTGAAATGGTTGAATGCATGCAACTTAATGGATCTATCAGGATACATGATTAAATTTATCGATGACCTTTATTTGGGGGGGGGGGTATCTAAATAATTCATATGATGATGGACAATGAATTTACAGGTATATCTTACCTAACCAATATTCTCCATCCACATTACCGAATCCTTCTTTGTACGAATCCCAGGATCTATAAAAATCTACTGATCCGTCAATCCGCCTATTGATAATCTACATGTGTAATGAAAAAGAATTTAATTAAGCATATTCTAAAATCACGGAATATAGGGACAAAAAAAACTACATACAACAGATCCAAATTCAAAGTCGATATTACAACTTTAACTATGACAATGCAGGAAAACAAAAGGCAAAATAAAATATAAAATACATAAAGTAAATGATTTATGAAAATTTAATCATACATTTAGCTTAAATATATATGCACATAAAATACAAAATCAGGAAAATTCTAACCGTCCAACCACCTCCCTCTGTAGTCATGTCAAAGTACACCAGTTTCTTTGTCTTCATATCAGGGTATATAGAGTAGACGCCATCTTTCCCTTTTGTGTTGGGTATGAATTTTAGAATTGATGCGCAGTCTCTTTGCTTTTGGACTTCTGTTTTGAAAATTACATATTAAGCAAACAGTTACTGTTAAATCCTTTGAATAGATTTAAATCCTACATGAAGTTAATATAAGATCAGTTTAAAAATATATTGACACCATTCATTAAATCCTATTTCAAAGAACGCGGAGATATTTTTACCTAAAAAAAATGATATGTGTACTTTACAATAGATTAATTTTTGCGCGCTTTTCTATCAAAAAGGTTTATACTTACTCTGGAACTTATTGAAATGTTTTCCAATAAGTCTATAGTGAGACAGAAGAGAAATATCCACAGAGACCGGGGTGTCCACTTTGACAGATGTGTTCAGGTGTTTCCAATTCCAGGGAGTTAACTTCAGTAAAGACTCAACATTTCCTTATAGAACAAAGCATTGATATATCATTTTCTATTTAAAAAGAATTATTTCTTACAAATTTGTAAATTTTCAATTTATACACAGATGTTATTTTTAAATTTTAAAAAATCATTACAACTTCAAAATACCTTGTAGATGGGAATGCGGAGTGATACAACATGTAGTTGTAAAGTGCAGAAAGAAACATAGTACCACAAAATTAACTTTGATTAAAACCATATTTTCTTCTGTGCCTGCACGTACATGTACGATTTCTAAAGAGAGTGCAAATATATACTTTTTTATTATAATTAAAATGTAACATGATATTTTGATTTCGTGTCAACATGTATCGATAATGTCATGTTTAAGATAAATATAAAAGGCGGAGCCAATGTTATGATAGTCAATGCTCCAGTAAGGAAAAACGCTTTACCAGAAACCCTCTGACCCCCTCTTCCCACCCTCTTTGAATCCGTCCTTGACAGTTTCTTAACTTTCACGACTACCACTTTTCAGTTATGGATAATTGCTTTTTAAGCTCCTTGGTTTTTTGCACAAACTAAAGTCACCTTCTTCTTGTAATAAAACTTTAAATTCATTTTCCGAAGTTCTCAAAGACGTTGCTTTTAATGGGCTTCTATCAACGAAAGATATGATGTACATCTGTATGATTCTGCAATAAGTATTTGAAAATTAAATTTATCGAGCTCTCCTTGATACTATCTGGGTCAAATTTTGAAATTGACATCTTAAAGATGAGTATTTTGCTAAGTACTTTGCAGATTTTGAAATTGACTTCTTAAAGATGAGCATCCTGCTATGTACGTTTCATGTTTACGTATACCACACACGTCTTAGTTTTGTTGAAATGTAGTGCAAAAAAAAAACAATGCTGCATTAAGAAACCATGCCCAAAGATGTGAATTTTTTGTTCATCTTTTAAAATAGTAAATTGTTACTATTGAAATAAAACTCTCTTACATTGACAGTTTGAAACTTTAAAATTTTACAGTGGATCGTATCTTTCATGCTGATTCATCACTGAAAAAAAATAAATACTAAAATTTACTAAGAAGACAACCGTTGTAAATTTACTGTCCATACAATCACTACCTTAAAAGTAATTTTAGATATCTACACGATCCATGCTCCACGGGACACCTACTACTCACAATTTTAGCCAGTAAACACAAAATGATTATTAATTTGATTTCAACTTATTATCTGTTTCAGTGTATAGATTGAATGAAAAACATTATTATCATCTTGCGATTTAGAGTCATGTTAATGTACAGAAAATGCTACATTTCTGTGTCTAAGCAAGGCAAAGGGCTGCTTTCAAAAGAACAGATTCAAAGACGGTTATGTTTGACAAGGAATTGAATGTAAAAACCGTTTGGGAACTATTGTAATCTATCAACAAAGAGTATATTAAGAAATAATATTTCGGTGAGCTGGGCATAAAAGATACCATAGAGTTTTACACATCTCTTCATCCGATTCATATCTGGATATTTAACTAGAAAAAGAATGTTAATCTTGTAACCAAGCTTTATGATAAACGTGATGAATTTACCTTCTCAATCGTCAACTTCCCTTATTTTTGCAGCAATATACCTTCATCATCTGAATACGGGGTTTATATATACCAGTTGATTCGATACACAATCTCGAGGTGAGTTACTGATGTGTTATCAGAAGTCTCCTTCATAGTCATCAATTTATAAGTTCTGTGGTTGATACGATGACCTCTACAATAAATACAATCTTTTATTAAGTCAAATGCTGACTGAAGTTTTTCATACTAATTGCTGGGTCATTATTTACATATACAATCGTGGACAGATTTTCATGATATTATATAAACAAATTAGGTAAGATTAGAATTACAAGTGGCAATACCATATTGTACTCATGGTATAATGCAAACATGAAAGTGGGGTTGCAATCATGATTAGGAAAAACAAGATAAAATTCTGCTCGAATGGGTACCAATTAATGACAGACTAATTAGAGCAAGATTCAATTCCATACGCAATTTTATTCACCAACAAATGATGCTGAGGAAGAATGATACATATGGAGATAACGAACAGTATTCAAGATTAAAAAATCCACAAAACAATGCAAAATAGGAGCAAACACGAACCTCCAAGACATCAGAGGTGGGATCAGGTGCATGAAATACTGAGCATCCCCAGCCGATCAATTGTATAATTAATGGACCAACAATTAGTATGAAAAACGTCCCTCAGCATTTGACTCAATGATAAATTGTATTTGCTGACAAGGTCATTGTATCTACCACAGAACTTACGAAATGATAACTTTAAATGAGACTGCTGATATTCTTGTTTCATCAACGTGTTTGTCAGTATTTTACCTCGTTTTAGAAATTGGTCATTTGTAAAGCATGCTCTTGTGTATCGAATAAATTGAGATATATAAACTCCGTGCAGGTGATGAAGGTATATGCTGCATACGAGGGTTGTCAAAAAAGTTTGTAGACAGTGACGTTTTTGTTAAAATAATTGGTTGTATATAAATCTATTGTACATCAAAATAATTCTTATGAAAATCCAAGTCAGAATGATTTAATTTTTATTGATGGAACTTTATATTTTTGTAAAAATCGGGGTCTTTAAAGGTCGCAGATAGTGCGCACGGACCAAGGTTAAAATGCCATAAACTCTGATATAAAGTGCTCGGAATAAAATGATTATTTTCTACATAAAAGAAGTCAAAACTTAATGAAAATTATATGTAACACAAATAAAGAGGCTATAATCGCTTTCTGATATTTAAAGTACCGCTTACTATATAGACATTGAAAATACTAAAACTAAACACGTAACAAGTACGTGTCAAAACTTGACGGAAAAAGCGACGTCGGCCGTCCGCACGGGGCTCAGAAAGCAAAAGTTGCGGATGAATTTAAATACAGATGCTAGATATACACGAATTACTGAATGCCGATGGATTAAATCAGGTAAGATTAGGATTACTTGTGGCAATACCTTATTGTACTCAGGGCACAATGACATACATCAAAGTGGGGGTTCAATCATGATAAGCAAAGACAAGATCTAAACGCTGCAGCAAAGACAAGATCTAAATGCTGCAGGAATGGGAATTAATTAATGACAGACTAATTAAAGCAAGATTCAATTCCATAGGCAATGTTACAAATGAATGCACCAACAAATGGTGCCGAATTCGAAGAAAAAGTGAAAGATGAATTTTATGAACACCTACAGGTGACTGTCTTTTAAGTTCTTGCCATGACATGCTAATGATCATGGGAGACCTGAATGCGAAAGTGGGTACTGATACCACTGACTGTGAGAAGTCTAAGGAGAAACATGGCCGTGAAGTTACATGTAGGAATAAGAATGGAGAGCGCTTATTTGAGTTCTGTCTCAACAAAATCCAAATGATAGGGTCAAAAGATTTGGGTAGTAACGGTATATTGTTTTTGTCCTCTCTGTTTTTCTGTCTGTCTGTTTTTCTGTCTGTTGTCAAATTAAACCTAGCCAATAACTATTGAGTGGATGGGGCTATGGCTTTCATATTTCACTGAAGACCTTTCTTTGGGTACCACCAAAATTGACCTCTTGACCTTGAAGTTTTACTTACTTTTACGTATTAATGTTTTTTTTTGATTTATTGTTTCTCATTTAAAGAGTGATTGTTAATTTAAACATTTTTACTTTTATGTGATACTTAATTACACTACCCACATCCATTCTTGTAATGTTGTTTTTTGTATTTGAAAAATTGTCGTATTATTTACTAAAAAGATATTTAAATTCAAGTTTAGTTTATAAATGATAAGGACCCTTTTTCAGTATGTCTCATTCTAAATTGATGAATAACATAAAAAGGATGTATTCACTACGACAAAGAATTGACCTAAAGGAGAAAACAATTTCCCGGAAAAGGTGATTATCTAAAAATTAACCTTTATTTGTAACTTTCTACGTGAAACGGTTGGGAGTTATCTCCCTTGTGCCATATTGTAAATCAATAAATAATTGTAAATAGTGTAATTAACAGGTTATTTGATTAAATGACTTTACAACAAAGGATATTATATAAATAAAAATACGACAAAAACAAATGTTTAGTTAAGATGAGCAAGGTATGCTCGAAAAATGACAGATACGTATTCCCGCACTTATTATCATTGATACGAAGTTTTTATAAGTAGGCAAATGGCCAATGAGTATGGTGTCGTACGTTTGAAACCAAATTGTCGGTAGTGGAAGTATTGTCAGTGACTATTGTAAGTCTAAAGGCTAAGAATTACAAGTGTTAAAGTCATTAGTGTAGCAGATATAGTTTATATTGAGCGTGTTTAGCCAGTTGACGGGTGAAATATATAGCCAAGGGGCTATTGTATTATCAACTGGCATTTGTATAGCCAAGTGGCTAGAACTAACCGATGGCATTTCAATAGCCAAGTGGCTATCACGAAGAAGTGTTCATTTAGCCAAGTGGCGTTGTTATAATTTAGCCAAGTGGCTTTGGTATAGCCAAGTGGCAAGTGGCTTTTGTACAGCCACGTGGCAGCTGGGTTTCTGTACATATTACTTAATTAACACTAGGCAAGTGTACCCTATATTTGTATATATTGAATTTGTTATATCTGTATATTTTGCATCCATATTGTCCTCATAAGACTTGGGCATTATCCAAGTACGATCCCAGGTAGATCGCTCGGGTCCCGCACGTTACACTACGGTATATATGTCTAACTCTTTCAAATTTGTATTTATACCTAAAACCTATTTTTACAACTTTACAATAAACCTCCAAAGTTGGCTGAAACAGCATTTTGTCCGTTAAAGCGTTGATTTTTGCATGAATTTTGGCCTAGAATGCCTTTAGGGCAGACCTGCCCCTAAATAAAATTGTGATATTTTAGGTTGGGATGAAAGGAATAATTTAAGATAGGATTTATTTAGGGGCACTCCTGCCCTCGGGTTGATATTCACAAAAAACCTACAAAAAATAAGGAATGATTTTGTTAATCTGCTTCAAATTTATCGCAGTCATTATATTAGTCAGACTAGCTCAATTGATATATGTGCTGACTTTTATACCGTGGATACTTTCTTTTTAAAGTCGGGGGGTTCAAATCCACCTGGTACCACACTTTTATTAAATTTTCGCCTTTTCAAAGACTTTTTTAATTTTTTATAGACTTGTGTATTTTTCTTCAATTATCCATCCTTTATACGATCGTAAATGTCCATTCTTGATATAAGAAACAATTAAGAGAGATTAAATACGCAGCACAGTTAATGTTGCAGTAAGGAGGCGGGGCCTAATTTGTACGGGAAATGTTTACTATGACCACATTTTGTACAATGAAAAATGTCTTTTGTTCTCAAATAAAATATTATTTGCAGTTAAATAAAAAGCCGTTAACTTGGATGCGATGTCTGTTTTAGTATTTTATTTATAAACTGTACGTACATTCTCCAGACAAGCGATACTGTCGTGTGTTTGTATGCAGATTCATTGAAAAAGTAATGGAAGGGCCCTAATAAATCGATTTATTGCAAGGGCATACCCTCAATGTATCTTATCAAGATTTTACACATGAACTCAAGAAGCATTAAGATTTTTGAAAAGTGCTGCGAACCTCTTGAAATCTTGCAAATAAATTAATTATAGCTATATTTAATGTAGTTGACCAGCAAAATATTCAACCTGCCGTCCAACAAATAAAATTTTAGAAATTAAAAAAGGGAATCTACATAGGTTTGCAGCACTTTTCACAAACTACATACAGTTTTGAAAAAGATTATAAACTAAATTAAAATTTTTAACTTGGCTATGCCCTTGCAATAATGAAATTTATAGATGACCTCTAAACTGCAAGTATAATTGCTAAAGTCATGTGACGTCGACATCACATGACAAGTCTAAATAAGAAATCTAAATGTCCCCAACATGTAAATTTTTTTTATATCAGTGAAGTCCTAAAAAGAATCGCCCATCTTAATAAAGTATGTATTTTTTATCCTAAAAAATCGCCGATATTTCCATTTGTAACCTTAACTGTGCTGCGTAATCGTAACAATCCAATGTACAGTTGCCAGTCAGGCGGAAAAAATCTAAGTATAAGCACTTTCTCCGAGGACAAGAATAACTCACTATGTGTTACTCGATAAAGGTATTCTTGAAATCATTGAGCTGCGATGAATTTCAATTGACATTTTTATATTCCTTAGAGTTTAATCACATTGATTTTGGATACATATATATCAGTTATTGTGCACCCTTGAATTTCATTTAGATCTATATAATTTGTACACATTAATGGCATGTTTTATCATAACCACGCAAAAATAGCCTTTCATGAAGAATAGAATTTCAGAGACAGTAGACATTAACATTATGAATAATGAAAAGTAAAGTAAATTTGTCAGTTTTTGCATTTGGAGATAACAAACTCAGAAAACCAATGAAAGGGTTACCCCTATATACCTCTACTCACTGAAATAAAGATTTAAGAAGAACAAATTGTTATATGTATTCAGCCTAATGTCATTAATCGGAACGGAAATCGACAAGCATATTTCTAGAGAATAAACCTAACCCGGTCTTATAGGTCAAATCCCTATTTAAAATGAAGTTATCCTTTGGAATGCTTTAACTTTGGTTGGACTTTTTTATGCTGTGTGTCCTACTCGTGACATAATTTTCATTTCGTTCTAGAAAATTCTATGTATAGAATATTTTTGGTTATGCAACTTATGCCATCCATGGTTCCAAACGTCATTATATTGATATAAATCCACAGATAAATGTCAAAATATCGATTTAAGTTATAAACAAATGTACATTTCACAAAAAAGAAACATGTTTCATATTCTTTTATTGATACTTCAAAACCAAATTTATTATTAATTTTTTGGTCTAATCATCATTTTTGCAGACTTCAATGAAATAGGTGCTTTTCTTTTACCGAAGTGCTCCCAATTAACACTTCCATTCGTATTGACAGCAGATTTATGGTATTGTCCATTCAGATCACAATAATCGCAGGCTCCATACCACCATCCTGATTTTCTGGCAGTAGCACAGGAATTCTTCCACGAATCGTTATCAGCGTCCTTTGTGGAAAAGAGCCTTCCGTTATGATAGGCTAAACTATCCCCTAAAATATATAATATTTTTGGTACATTTTCTTGTCTCCATATTTGTCTAGAATAACTTTGCATAATATTCACATATTTACAAATTTTGGTCATATGGATAAAATCTCAACTTCAAAAAAGTTGAAAATTCACGGACATACATACAATGAAGCGCATTGAAGTGGTAAAATTTTCCGTTCGAATGGAACGTTTTGAGTTATATTTAGAGTGTTTATTGTCATCTTATGACACGCCCATTTCTTTAGAAATGGATAAAACGGTCAAGTTGTTTCTTCAAATACCTGTAGAACAGGTTTTCCATAAATATAATAGCCAATCAAATTGAGGATCTAAATAAGCACCGAGTAAACACGTGTTCGACCGAAACATGTGTTGTGGTGACTTCAATAGACATGATTAGTTAAAAAAAATATGTACATATTCGTTGCAATTTGTGTTTTACAGAAGCGGGGAGTCTCTATCTCCCTCTTCTAATTTTTTTAAAAGCTCCATTTCAGTGTAACTCATGATGCTTGTCGCGAAGAATGGGGTGTCCTAACACTACGACGAATATTTCTTTCTCGTTTCAAAAAATATGGGCGTGTCATTATGTTACAATTGAAGTTCAAAACATGACTCATAACTTTTCATCCAAACGGAAAATTTTACCACTTCAATGCGCTTCATTGTACGTATATTATAAAAATCTATATTTTTGTTTAAAGAATCACTGTATAGTTAGTGTAGTATGCCAGGGCATCAACGTTAGTGGGAAACATGGGATAATTTGCATAACGGGCGAAGCCCGTTATGCATAAAAGGCAGCCGCACGAGATTTACATGCATACTTGGCCTCCTTAGCGTCAGACACAGAGAAAGATACGCACGAGATTTGCATGCATATTGGGCCTCCTTAGCTCATGACTTACTGACCTGCATAATTTACATTCCGGTAGAATTATCAAGAAGTAAAGTCCCCAAACTTTCAAAGAGTTATCACAGAGAAAAAAAATTAAAAATGGAAATAATAATAAATCACCTGCAGTACCACTGTACCCAGTGACTGTCAATTTGAATTTTTGGGACTCACTTCCGACAGAAAACTTGGAGTACTTGGCAAAGGCCTTTTTGCCAGAAAATTTCTGAAGGTCCACTCTCAGTTCATATTGCCTCTTTTTAGTGAGTAAGTGAATAGCTTCATTTCCTAGAAAACAAAATATAAACTAGTTTAATAACTCAGAAGTAAAGCAAACAGACACATCAATGAGGAATAACATGTAGACATTAATGCAATAAAAACTCTTTATACAAAATTTTAATAAATTATTTCAAAATCAATATCAAAGCAATATGAGCTTCAACTTTGATGTCGGAAATTTTTATTTCAAAACTGTTATTAACTATTTCAAGAACAGGTAACTTTATCAATGAATTTTTATTTGAAGGGGGGGGGGGGCATATAATTTATATGATGGACAATCAATTAATCTCTTACCTAAATAATACTCCCCCTCCACATTACCGAATCCTTCTTTGTACGAATCCCAGGATCTATAAAAATCTACGGATCCGTCAATCCGCCTATTGATAACCTGCGTGTGAGAAGAAAATCTATTTAATTAAGCATTTACTAAAATCATGGAGGGGGAAACAAATTAACTATACAAAGAAAATCTTAATTCAAGGTCGATATTACAAATTTAACTAAGAACCAAATGGAAATATAATGTACTTAAAATAAATGAATTATACAAATTCAATTGAAACCAACAACACTGTATATCCTAAGTGTCGGATCTACCAAGTAGATTCAAGGTCAAGGATGGAAATTTATATAAAGCACTAAAAATGACCAACGACACGTACAATAAAAATTGTTTATTGTTCGTGTCATTGGTCATTTTTAGTGCTTTATATATATATATATATATATATATATATATATATATATATATATATATATAATACACACTCAGGAAACTTCTTACCGTCCAACCCCCTCCCTCTGTAGTCATGTCACAGTACACCAATTTCTTTGTCCTCATATCCGGGTATATAGCGTAGACGCCATCTTTCCCTTTTGTGTTGGGTATGAATTTTAGAATTGATGCACAGTCTCTTCCCTTTTGGAGATCTAATTTCGAAGATTACATATTACATGTACAGTTACTCCATAATTCTTTAAAATATATTTGAATCCTACAAGGAGTATATATAAGTTCCTTTTAAAAATATATTTGCACCATTCATTAAATTTTATTTCCAAGAAACGCGGAGATATTTTTACATGAAAAATGAATGATACATGTACTTCTCACAATATATTTATTTTAGGGGGCGCTCTTTACTTTTAAAAACATTTGTACTTACTCTGGTACTTGTTGAAATGTTTTCCAGTAAGTCTGTAGTGAGACAGAAGAGAAATATCCACAGAGACCGGGGTGTCCACTTTGACGGATGTGTTCAGGTGTTTCCACTTCCAGGGAGTTAACTTCAGTAGAGACTCTACATTTCCTGATAAACACAGCATTGATTTATATAATTATCTATATTGAAAAAATTATAATTTACATATATGTAAATTTTGAATTTGTACCGAGATATTTTTTTTAATTACAAAAAAAAATTACAACTTCAAAATACCTTGTAGCTGGGAATGCGGAGTAATGCAACATGTAGTTGTAAAGTGCAGAAAGAAACACAGTACCACAAAATTATTTTTGAATAAAACCATATTTTCTTCTGTGTCTGCATGCACTTGTGCGATAACTAAGGAGAGTACATGTATATAGTATTTTATTATAATTAAAATGTAACATGATATTTTGATTTCGTGTCAACATGTGTCGATAATTTCATGTTTAAGATATAAATAAAGGTAAAAGGCGGATTCAATGTTTTGACAGTCAATGCCCCAGTAAGGAAAAGCACTTAACCAGAAACCCTCTGACACCCCTCTCCCCACCCTATTTAGATCCGCCCATGACAGTTTCTTTACTTTCACGACTACAACTTTTCAATTAAGCTCCCTCCACTTTTTAAGCTCACATGGTTTTTTGCACAAATAAAGGTTACATTTTTTTTGTAATAAAACTTAACATCATAGGACTTATATACGATTATAAAGCCCTATTATGTTTCAATATCTCGTCAAAACTTAATGAAACGTCCTTAAATTTTGAGGTTCTCATGGTCGTAGCTTTTAAGGGGATTTTATCAATACATTGTATGATGTACATCTATTAAATTCTATATAGTAATAGGTATTTACAAATTAAATTGATTGAGCTTTCTTTAAAACTCTTTATTTGAATTTTCAAATGAGATATGTATTTTTCTGAGTACTTTGCACCCTTATGCCTACAATGCACATCTTGGTTTTGACGAAATGTAGCGCCAAAAAAGGACAATGCTGCCTGACGAAATAATGTTAAAAGAGAGTAAAATATTGTTTATCTTTTAAAGTAGTAAATTGTTACTATAGAAATTAAAATTCTTTTACATTTACGGTTTGAAACCTTAAAATTTTGCAGTGGAACGTATCTTTTCTGATGCTAGATTTCAGTAAGTAAAAGAATTAAAGCGTTTTAAAATGGAAAGCAGTATCACTGAAAAAAAATTGTAAAAGTCACTTAGAAGACTAGTTTTACGATCCTTACAAACCCTAAAAGTAGTTTTTACTAGACAATTGAAAATTTACTAGGTAACATTAGAAATCTAAAATTCATCAGTAACTTTCAGTAGAAATCTATACGACCCACGCTCCATGGAACACCAACTATTCACTATCTTAGCCATTCAACAGAGTGATCACTTATCACGACGAACGCTTTACGGGGCACACTAGTTAAATTAATTAGGTATTTCTGTCAGTGTTTAGAACAAAATAAGAAACACTGTTATCATCTTGCGCTTTAGAGTCATGTAAATATAAAACATGATAACATGTGGACTAAATAAGAAGTTCATGACTGTGAAATATTTGTGTTTTGAGACCCCCCCCCCTCTACATGTGTATGACTAGTTTGTTATCATAATTTGTATATGATTTCTCTTACAGCAATTATATTTGAACTGTAAACATTACCAAGTGTACTATAAAACGATGTTTGGTAATTCCTATTATTTCATGTCTGGTAAATCCTACACTTTCATGTTTGGTAAATGACCAAGTTTACCACGGAGGAAATATGGACTGATACGTAAAATTATGGACTCATGATTGAAACAGTATGGTATTTATTATGAATGTTTATTTCATTTAACTTACAGTTCATTGTATAATTTGATTGTAATTTACCGTTTTAGCGAGCGTCTATCGATCACGTTGTTTTCCTTTTTGGTCATGGCAATTCGGAAGATTCTAATTTACAAGGGGGCTTTAGGTTATTGTTCTCCGTCCTCGAACGTCATTATTTTATTATTGTTGACTTATACGCAACTTGTATTGTACATGTTTATGCAGCTTACCTTCGTTGTTTATTACTATATATTTGTTTTACGATTCGGCGTCACATAGTTCGTATTTTTCATGGTTTGTCCTACTTCAGCGATGTTGTTAGTATCGTCTGCCATTTTGGTTTATACTTTCCTTTTTGGTTAGGTAAAGCGCACTGCGCATGTCCGGTAGTTTACCCTATTCCCCATTTTCAAAAGTGAGTTATCTCCCCTCAAAATCGGAACTCTTCAACACTAGCATAACTTCCGCGGACTACATGTTACGATAATCCAACAAAATAGTGATCAACTTACGCTGTATTTAAAAATTTTAAAAGAAGGAAACGATTTGCATTTTTTTTAGATAATAAATTATTTTATAAAGGGTCTGTTAGCCCCCCCCCCCTTTCTAGAAAGCTATACGAATTAGCCAGGCACGTAGCATCGTCTTTAAAGGGGGGGGGTAGCCAAAGAAATATTTTTTTCTTACCTGGAAAAGTTGGCAAGCAAAGATAAACCTTGCCCAAAGTTGAAAAAGCTACTTATTTCAGTACCAGTTCCTTGGCATACAATACTCACTTCCCTTATATAACTTTACCGTAGTATAAACTGTGTGTGTGTGTGTGGGGGGGGGGGGGGGGTTGGGGGGGGGGTTGGCAACCTGTCTATCAATGAACATTTTCAATAGAAAAAGTAATATTGGGAAAAAAGTGGGGGTGGGGCTAAACCCCTTGACCCCCCCCCTCCGTGCGTATAGGTACAGAGAATATGTAAATGGGTTGAACAGTTGAATATGAACCATAGTTGTGAAAGTTAAAAATTATTAGAATTTTTAATTGTGAATTCAATAAAATTACGGTACATATATTTTTTTCACAGATGTACATGTATGTCAGTTACACGGACTCTCTCTCTCTCTCTCTCTCCCTCTTTCTGATATTGTTTTTTACACACTTTGCAAAAAAAGAATAACTTATAAAAATAAATACATGTACTTACACTGAAAGGATTTAAAAAAAATAAATAACACTTGAGAAAAGATTGTTTTCAGTTAATTAACGAGAAATACGCTTGGAAATTATAGTATCAATTTCATGTTTCTGCTCTCAATTCTCTGATCTAAAACAAAATGTGTATTTCACTCGGGAATATACATGTATATATGCTTAGATCCTACACTAAAACTTTGATTAAATGCAGCTCAGACTTTATACGACATATGTAACACGAATTCAGATCGATGCTATTTTAATAAGTCTTTCTTCGCACATGAGATTAAATTATTCATTTAGAATTCCATTCAAAGTTTTAATACTATATAGTGAATCAATTATTTTACAAATAAAAAATTCTAGAAACACGGTTAATTCAAATGAAATAGGCCTTTAATTGTCACCAAATGAGTTCTTGTAAGTAAAAAGTTCTATGTTATGACATACAATCGAGCAAAAAAGCAGTTTCTTGGTATCGGTCGCGGAAGACGAACTACTGCTGTATATGCAGCAATTTCAGAGGTAAAACTGTAGATGGACATGTCATCAGTCTTCAAAAAATTCCTAGAGATACAATGAAAATATGGCTGCAGCAGGCTAGATTAATTCGTAAAAACTTTATAACTAAAAATTTGTTCCGCACATTTTGTAAATAATGATGATCCGTCTGCAGAACATCCACTACCGAAAATTAGCTTTTTTTTTTTTTTTTTTTTTTAAATAGGCCTATTCGAATATGTATCAGCATTTTATCAGTAATTTGTTTGTTTCTTTTTTTTTGTACGGGGGGGGCGGGGGTCACACAGCACCTTATTATAGTACTACACAGATTAATACAAATCCAGAAAGAGACTATGAGTGGGCAATTTTAAAAAAAAATACGAATCAGTTAAGATTTCTTTTTATTCACAATCACAATAAAACATTTTTCCATATGACAGAGGCATACACTATGAACATGTTTACATCAAGAACGTCCGCGGAAGTGACTTTATCTAAAGCGCATGCGTATTAAACACAGTAAAAGAGTTCCCTTCAGGGGAAATAACTCACCTTTTGAAAATGGGGAATATAAGCGTCGCCACAGACGCTGCATGAGGTTTCAGTTTGACTCTGCAGAACGTCTGCGCAACAACTTTAATAGAATTTGTACGTGAATACTGATATAACTAACGCTTGGAGAGTTTTTACTATAGATTATATTGACCAAATAGATTTATTAAGGAATTCATCAGTCTCTACGGAGTTTTACTATAGTTTACAGTGACCAAATTGATTTTTTAAGGAAAATCAAGTTACCATTTTACCAAATCATAATAACGTTACCAAATCATAATATGTGACCAAATCATGATATGTGACGTCCGATCTGACCAAATGTATTACATCACCATTGTTTGATTATTTGGCTATCCAGCCATCTGTATTACAGTTATTCCTTTATTAAATCTTTGTTAACATTTACATACTCTTATGTTGTGCTCTTGTTTGCCTCTGCAATGCAATATTTTACTGACCAACACAGGGATTTATCTTACCAAATCAACAAGGATTACCAATAACAAATTACCAGGAAATACCACATATATTGGTTACAATGAAATATATCTCCTTCGTTGGAGATTTGATCAATTATAAAAGCCTCATACCTCGGGCACGTTACAATGACATCCACTCTAATTTGGTCTAGGCAGCGGAAAAGGGCTACTTTTAAAAGAACGGATACAAACTGACAAAGACGGCTGTATTTGACGTGAAACCATATAAAAACCGTTTGGAAACTGTCATAATCTATCAGCAAAGAGCATATTGAAATCCTACCAATTATTAAATGTTAATCATGTTATAAGCTAGTGAAATAGAATAAAATTTATGTAATAAATTACTTTTAGAATATATTTTACTGGCTCGTTACACAATTTTGCATTGTAACAATATGACGTTAATTTGTGCGAAAAACAATAATTGAATCAAAATTTAGTTTATAGTTCATTCATATTTTTCATGTCATATTCCGGTGAACTTTAAATTAAAGATACCACAAAGTCTTACACATCTGTTCATCTGTTTTATATCTGGATATTTAACTAGAAAAAGACGTAAGTGTAAATCTAGTAACCAACCTTTATGATAAACGTGGTGAATTTACCTTTTCAATCGCCAATTCCCTTTATGCAGCAATATACCTCCATCACTTGAATACGGGGTTTATATATACCAGTTGATTCGAAATACAATCTCGAGCAAGCTCTGCGTATGAACAATTTCTAGAACGAGGTTAGTTACTGACAAATAAATTGATGAAACAAGATTATCTTCAGTCTCATTTAAAGTCATTAATTCGTATACGTAAGTTCTATGTTCGATACAATGACCTTGACAGCAAAAACAATCTATTAATAAGTCAAATGGTGACGAACGTTTTTCATACTAATTGTTGGATCATTATTTACATACAGAACTGTAGACGGATTTTCCTGTAATATTGAATGAATAACATTACAGTTCTTAAGTACTAGAATTTAGAATTGATCGAAACATTCAAGTAGGCGTACGTCAAATCTTTGATTTAAAATGGTAAGCTCATTAACTATGTAAATAAGACTAGGGACATGCTCTGACTTTTGAAATATTAAAAGAAAGAAAAAAATGTACATTCTATTTTTTTATTTACTTTTATCATGGTGTTCTGAATGATCACTGTAAGGGTTGTTAATTAGATTTAATCCCCTTGTCGCATCTGCCTCTCTTTTACAAAGGAGTTCGCTAAAAATCACAAATAGCCAGAATCTGGATACAGTGGTGAAAACAGATCGAGAATTTATTTCTTTACCTATAATATTCTTAGCATAGGTTATGAACAGATTCAAATCTAGGATGTGGTATAAAGCTTTACACAAGTATCATTTTTCTTGCCAAGTGGTTTCTGAGAAATATTTTTCACGAATTTTTAAAGCAGATTTAAGAAAAAGAAAACTTCTTTTGTTGAATTCAGTCATTTTTTTTTTTTTTTTTTTTTTGGGTCTGATCATCATTTTTGCATACTTCAGGAAGATGTCTTCTTTTCCGAAAATAATACCAGTGAACACTACGCAGAAGGATAAAACGTACGCTGAAGTAGGACCTTAGGTCCCCCGCGCAGTTCACATCCCTCGGGTCTGTTTACTCCGCTACAAAATGCAGTGCGTTGCATACGTAAAGTGAAAATAGAATAAATCGTAATACTGTGAAGCCTTTTCAGTGTAAAAAAAACAGAAAATTTACTTTTGTCAAGGGAATAATCATCTGTGATGGGTATTAGAAAACAAAGAGGGGGAGGGGGTTGCTGAGCAACATTAACTTCAATATTATAACATATATGATATATTAGAGTTTAACATTTATGGATTATGTTGGGTGACCTGTGGTCTCCCCTATGATTTGTAAGGTTATAGTATCTATATAACACAGTGCCTAACCTCTGATCTCCTTACTAAATGAGCGACTCAGAGTAAACGACGTAGGTCCAGTCTCTGCATTCGCAGATCTCTAACAAGCGGGGCGGGGGGTGTTTGAAGATTTTGCCCCATACCACCCCCTTTTCATTTCGCTCGGACTTTTCACCAATCCTTTACCATAATGGAATAATTATTTGTTAATAAATTATCTAATGTCTCTTTTGTCTTCCTTATGAGGTCATGCTTAAATAGGCGACCTCATCACTTTAACACTCTTTGCCGGAAATCCCTGATTTTTATTTATCTTACAAAGAAGATGTACACCCTGTATACAAAGTTTGGGGCTGCATGGAGTTCTCCTCCCCTTTCCCTGGAATTCACACATCAAATTCATAAACCCATCAAAACTACATTAAAAAAGGAAATAAAACTCAAAAAATGCACCAATTGTTATTTAACATTGGGATACATATACTGTATTTGAAGACAAGCAAGTTGACTAATCCTCGAGATTCCAAATACATACATGTACAATTAGAGAATTCGGAGAAATTGTGCACTTTTTCCTCGGTCAAAAAATTAGGGTCGCAATTCTTTTTTTGAGAGGATTTGAAAAATAATTCAACACATACCATGATTTTAAATTATTGCCTACTTACAACTTTCAATAACATCGTAATAATGAACAACATAAGATTACCTTTGTCTCATTCATATACTACAATTTGTGAAGTATGAAATCCTTATTGATGGACAATATAAGACTTCTGCTTGTTTCCATAATCTTTATGCGAATACCAGAGGTAATAAAAAGTTAATAAGACCAGATGTCACTTTATATCGCACATCTTTAGGGCGACCATAGGTCACCTTATATTGTACATCAAAAGGGAGACCAGATGTCATCTTCCGTTCTACATCATATGGGGGGCCAGAGGCCACCTTCTTTTGTACATCAGTAGGGGGACCAGAGGACACCTAATATTACACTTATGATCAATTGGGGGACCAGAGGGCACCTTATATTGTACATCAGTAGGGGACATCAGTAGGGGGACTAGAGGTCACCTTATATTGTATATCAATAGGGGGACCAGAGGTAACCTTATATATTGTACATCAGTAGGGGGACCAGAGGACACCATATATCTTACATTGGTAAGGGGACTAGGGGTCACCTTATATTGTACATCAGTAGGGGACCCAGAGGACACCTTATATTTAACATCAGTAGGGGACTTCAGTAGGGGGACCAGAGGTCACCCTTTATTGTACATCAGTAGGGGGACAAGAGGACACCTTATATTGCACATCAGTAGGGGGACCAGAGGCCATATATTGTACATCAGTAGGGGGACCAGAGGTCATCTTATATTGTACATCAGTGGGGGACCAGAGGACACCATATATTGTATATCAGCAGGGGGACCAGAGGTCACCTTATATTGTACATCAGTAGGGGGACCAGAGGACACCTAATATTACACTTGAGATCTATAGGGGGACCAGAGGGCACCTTATAATGTACATCAGTAGGGGACATCAGTAGTGCACCCAGAGGACACCTTATATTTAACATCTGTAGGGGACTTCAGCAGGGGGACCAGATGTTACCTTTTATTGTACATCAGTAGGGGACCTGTGGTCACCTTATATTGAACGTCAGTAGGGGACCTGAGGACACTTAATATTACATTTTACATCAATAGGGGGACCAGAGGTAACCCTATATTGTACATCTGTAGGGGGACCAGAGGTCACCTTATATTGTACATCAGTAGGGGGACTAGAGGACACCTAGTAATGTACATCAGTAGGAGGACCAGAGGGCACCTTATATTGTACATCAGTAAGGGGACCAGAGGACACCTTATATTGTACATCAGTAGGGGGACCAGAAGACACCATATATCGTATATTGGTAGGGGGATTAGGGGTCACCTTATATTGAATATCAGTAGGGGGAAATCAGTAGGGGACCCAGAGGACACCTTATATTGTACATCAGTAGGGGGACCAGAGGACACCTAATATTACACCTTAGATCTATAGGGGGACCAGATGGCACCTTATATTGTACATCAGTAGGGGGACCAGAGGTCACCTTGTATTGTACATGAATAGGGAGACCAGTGGTCCCCTTTGTTGTACATTTTTAAAGAAATCAGACATAAAAAAAATTATATGAATGAAGAGAGATAAAGCATCAAAGATTCTAGACCCGTCTAAACCAACAGACACCTAGAAAGAAAACAAGGGTGGACCAGAGGGTACAGATAAAATACATATTAACGAGATGCTAGAGGTTCACCTAAGAACACGACAAGAGGCCTATGGATCTTATAGGTCATTTGAACATCTTGCAAAACTTCAAAACTTTCATTTCAAATAAGCGGTAATAATTAGCAATAATTAGTAGTGCTCATTGACCACAAAAACCCTCATCCTGAGGTCATACATTTCACAATTTTGAAAAAAAGACCATTGTTCATAAAAAAGGTTCATACCAAAGAACAAATTTCAAAGCATTAATTCAGTTAGACTATTGTCTATAAATGACATGGTACCCATGAGCCAGGGGCCTTGAAATTTATAATTCTGGAAGACGTTCCCTTGCTTATCATAACTATACATGTATGTAGTTAGTTAAATTAATATCCAGGAGCAGAGAGGATTTTTTTTTAAAGAATTAAGGAGGCTGGGGGACAACAAATTAACCATCAGTTTTAACTTATTTTTTAGATACGGTAAAATAAATATAATGGGCATCAAAAATGGATACCGTACTTGCAAACAAAAATTAAACAAATAATGTACTGTTTGCCAAATTTCAACAAATAATCACTGACGGTGTATGATTGACTATACGACACATAGCAAAGAATGGAGGCGTACAAGGCGAGGACAATCCCCCGCTCTGAAAAAAGATATTTCTCAATTCGAAAAGTAGTATTTTTTCAAAATTTTATGGTTTATATCATCTTTTACATATCAAATTCTGTATTTCATTGTTTTAATAATTTATGAATAATTTATTTTTTATTTATGTTTTTAAGACATTTGAAAACAAAAAAAGAAAAAGGAAAAGCTTCATGTATGATTCGAACTCTCTTCATAGCTCAGATTTAGTCCAAGACCAACCGCTTTACCCACTACCGGTATGCTACGCTACGAAGTATATGCACTATTGACGTCTTTCAGTGTGATTTAAATGGACGGGTTTGTTACATTTCCATCATTTAAGGACATACGCAACGTACCTTACTTACTGATAATTTTTCAAGATATTCTTAATTTAAACTTATAATACCATTACATATTCCTAGACAAAAAATCAGCATGCGTTACCAGGGGTTTTGAAAAGATATCAAACTGTGAAAATTTTTGCATCATTTAGAGAAAAATGTACAAAGATTATAGAACATAAATTCCAGATGTTTTTTAATATAAAGTTGTTTTAGAAGAGGTGTACCACTCCATGTATAGACATTGAAAGTATTGCACACAAGTCCTTCATTCAGTGGAACTCTTCAACTCCAGGGAATAACCAAATAAAGTTCAAACTACGTTGCGTATGACCTTAAGCGTTCACAAAGAATGGAGACTTGTCCCACTCATGTTCAAAATTCGTTTTTATAGCTCTATTAAGCCCATTTTCCACTAAATATGCTTAACTGTCAACTTTGAAATAAATATTATCAAGTGATAAGTCGTTCAGAAAAATAAAATGATAAAATATTTTGAAGATGACATTACTGAGAACATGATTTCAGAAAAATATAGCTTTTTTGTGGATTTTTAAAATTGAAAAACATTTTGTCGCAGAGCGGGGGATTGTACACGCCTTATCGCCCTCTTTCAAAATAGACATCATTTCGGGAGTAGTTCACACTGTTTTAAAAACGTTTGACAGAAAAAAAGCTTATTACTCAAAAGTAACCCTTTAAAAAAATGAGTGAAAACGACTGCGTATAAGAATATATGAACAATCATTAAAAATATCAGTAATTGTAGTTATCCACGTTTATTTGAATTTCAAACACATAATGAAACTTGAATCTATTGCTTAAAACCCTCAAAACAAAATTTACAATAAGATGTACTTGACAAAAAAAACAAAGGTCTGAGAAGAGCAGAGAATTGCAAGAACACAAAGATAGATTTATAGGCAATTTTCTTAAATATTAGTGGTCTTATTGTTCAAATTCATATTCGGGGATGCTGTTTAATTTCTGGAGGAATCTAGAAAGCAATTTTTTGGCAAAAAATCAAAAGGTTATTGAGAATAAGGAATCCACAACATTAGATTTTTTCCATGACAGCGTCCAAACCCGAAAGCCCTGAAGTCTTGGGGATAAACAAAAGTTAATGTTCATTCACATTAACAATATTCGCCAGATCTTTCACCTTTTGACTATTTCCATTTTCCAAACTTGAGAAAACGCCTTTCAGAAGGAAGAAACAAGTCCAGGAAATCAAAGGATCTGCAATAATCCAGGTTCATACCAGAAAATTAGTTCAAAAAACAATTGAAAATAAATCAGAAATTAGATACAAATGTTACTTATATGTGTTTTAATGAAAAGATAATTTTAGGTTAAATCATTATATCTAAATTATTTAAAAGCGACTTTTGTTTCTTTCCGAGCACCGAAGACATTATCAAACGACCCTTGTATAAGGTGACCTACCGATGTACAATATCAGGTGTCCTCTGGTCCCCCACTGGTGTACAATATAAGGTGGCCTCTGGTCCTACTGATTCACAATATAAGGTGACCCCTGGTCCCCCTGCTGATGTACAATATAAAGTGTCCTTTGATCTCCTTACTGATATGCAATATAAGGTGACCTCAAGTCCCCCTTCTGATGTTCAATTAAAGGTGAACTCTGGTCCCCCTACTAATATACAATAAAAAGTGGCCGCAGGTCCCCCAACTGATGTACAATATAAGATGTCCTCTGGTCCCCTTTTAATGTACAATGTAAGGTTACCTCTGGTCCCCCTGTCGATGTACAATATAAGGTGACCCCTGGTATCCCTGCTGATGATCAATATGAAGTGACCTCTCATCCCCTTACTGATGTACAATATAAGGTGACCTCTAGTCCCCCTTCTGGTGTTAAATATAAGGTGACCTCTGGTCTCCCTTCTGATTTTAAATATTAGGTGACCCCTGGTCCCCCTGCAGATATACAATATAAAGTGGCCTTTGGTCCTTCTAATGATGTACAATATAAGGTGACCTCTGTTCCCCCTTCTGATGTTAGATATAAGGTGACCTCTGGTCCCTTTTACTGATGAACAATATAAGGTAGCCTCTGGTCCCCCTACCGATGCACAATATAAGGTGACCTCTGGTCCCATTCTGATGTACAATATAAGGTGACCCTTGGTCCCCCTGCTGATGTACAATATAAGGTGACCTCTGGTCATCCTACTGATGTCAAATATACATGTAAGGTGACCTCTGGTCCCCCTACTTATGTACAATATAAGGTGTCCTCTGGTTCCCCTACTTATGTACAATATAAGCTGACCTCTGGTCCTTCTGCTGATGAACAATATAAAATGACCTCTGGTCCTACTACTGATGTACAATATAAGGTGTCCTCTGGTACCATTATTGATGTTCAATATAAGATGACCTGATGTACAGTACAATATAAGGTGACCACTAGTCTCCGTACTCATGAAAAATATCGGGTGACCTCTGGTCACCTCTGGTCCCCGTATTGATGTACAATATAAGGTGAACCCTGGTACAACTGCTGATGATCAATATAAAGTGACCTCTCATCCCCTTACTGATGTACAATATAAGGTGACCGCTAGTCCCCTTTCTGTTGTTAAATATAAGGTGTCCTCTGGTACCGCTACAGATGTACAGTACAATATTAAGTGACCACTAGTCCCCGTACAATATAAGGTTACCTCTGGTCATCCTTCTGTTATAAAATACAAGGTGACCTATGGTCCCCCTACTGATGTACAATATAAAGTGAACTCTGTTCCTCCTACTGATGTACAAAATAAGGTGACCTCTGGTCACCCTACTGATGTACAATATAAGGTGCCCTCTAGTCCCCTACAGATGTATAGTATAAGGTGTCCTCTGGTCCCCTTATAGGTATACAATATAAGATGACCTCTGGCCCCTCTACTGATGTACAGTACAATATTAGGTGACCATTAGTCCCCGTATTAATGTAAAATATTGGGTGACCTCTGGTCCCGGTACTGATGTACAAAATAAGGTGTCCTCTGGTCACCCTACTGATGTACAATAAAACTTATAAATGGTAACCCCTTTTCCCCCACTGATGTACAATATCCGGTGTCCGCTGATCCCCCTACAGATGTATAGTATAAGGTGTCCTCTTGTCCCCCTACAGATGTATAGTATAAGGTGTCCACCCCCCCCCCCCCCCCACTGATGCAAAATATAAGGTGCCCTCTGGTCTCCCTACTGATGTACAATATAAGGTGTCCTCTGGTCCCTCTACTGATGTACAGTACAATATTGGGTTACCTGTAGTCCCCCTACTGATGTACAGTATAGGGTGACCTCTGGTCCCCAAAATGATGTACGATATAAGGTATCCCCAGGTCCCTCTTTTATGTGCAATAAAAGATTTCCTTTGGACCCCTATTGATTTGAAATGTAAGGTGACCTATGATCCCTCTGATGATGTACATTATAAGGTGACCACTGGTCTCCCTAATGATGTTAAATATAAGGTGGCCTCTGGTCCCCCTACTGATGTACAATGTAAGGTGATCTTTGGTCCCCCTAGTGATGTAAAATATGAGGTTACCTCTGGTCACCCTTAATTACTTTCACGTTTCTGCTAATATATATATTAGAAAGTTGATCTTTATAGAGTTATAAATATGATTATTTTGGAGTAAGACAAAGAAAATTGTCTATCATATAAAATTCAGTTAATATAAAACGTGACCTGAGGTCTCCGTATTGATATCGAAGAATTTACATTTGTGCCTTTAATGCCTGGAGAGTTCCTAGAATGTTTTATTACTACGCAAAATGACGAACTATTTGCGGGGGACCCCAGGTCCTAGTTCAGCGTACGTTTTATCCTTCTGCGAACACTACGATCCGTTTTGACTGCAGATGTGAAATAAGGTTCGTTCAGATCACAATAATCGCAACCATTGAACCACCACCCAGCTTTCCTATCAACAGCACAGGAATTCTTCCATGAATCATTGCCTGCATCCTTCATGGAAAATGGTCTTCCATTATGATAAGCTAAACTATCTCCTAAAATATATTTTCATTAACCTTTATTTTTACATTTCCTTGGACACAAACTTTTGTCATGTTTATGTCATCAATAATGATTACGTTCTATCAGCATCATCTGAGACCTGTCAGATATTTTACTCTTCCTATGGATGTCGCCCTTATCATAGCATACAATTATATAAATATTTATTTCTATTAAAGAAAGGGTGAACAATCACTGATATTTTACATGTATAACAGAATATATTTTTTGTTAATAAATTACCTGCAGTACCACTGTACCCAGTGGCTGTCAATTTGAATTTTTGGGACTCACTTCCGACAGAAAAACTTGAATATTTTGCAAACGCCTTTTTGCCAGAAAATTTCTGAAGGTCTACTCTCAGTTCACATTGGCTTCTCTTAGTGAGTAAGTGAATGGGTTCATTTCCTTAAAAAAGAAAATTTACATTAATAACTCTTACAGTTATACGTGTATACCCGGTAGTAAACAGACAAATCAGTATGGAAAAATATGCAAAAGTTGATGCAATTCTAAATTACGAATTACAAGAAGAAGTACGAAAATAAACAGTAATCTAGCTCCATTGTAACAATAGAAATAGGGAGATAAGCGGAAAGGACCCTACAAAAAATCAGAGCTATGGTGGAAACATGTTTCTCAAAATTCGTTTGTTTTGGCAATCTCACGAACTACTGCAGTATTTTCAGAAAAAGTGAACCATACTTTACAAAGTTGCGAACAAATTCATTAATAATCTGAGGAGAAAAATGAGAAAACAAAAAAGGCAATAATCATTAAAATCTTTTTGCGTAAACAGTACTGGAAATACAGATGTAGAAAAAGTAAAAATTGTTTAAAATTTTCTGAGGGTAGGGAAAGTTTGTTTGTTTGGAAAAAAGAGTGAAACAAACAAATAAAGTATTTGTAGACAAACCACTTCTTGAAAGTCTAAACGGTTATGAGGAAAAATGTCGTGTTGAATGTGCTTAGAAACCTTATTTAAAGGCAGAGATTTTTTACCGGGTGGTAAATTCCAGGTGAGAGAGGGGCTAATTTTGTACAGGTGTGAATGCCTTGGGGGCTAGCAGTCTACTTCTGGTCATCTGTCTCTTAATCCCTATACACAGGAAGTGATTTAATACACAGAGAAATACCCCAAGTGTAAAACTTTACCTGTGTTGGCGATTTTGAGAAAATTTCAAAATTAGTTGTAAAAGGGTTTTTCAATTATATTGATTTATTTTTGAAAACGCCCCTAACCATTTAAAAAATATGATATAATACTATAAATTCAAATATTAAAACAAAGATTTTTTTTATATTTGAGTGTATGTGTTAATGAAAAAAAAAACAACTCCTGTAACAACCCAATTTGACTTTTAAAATTTAATTTAAAAAAATATTCATCCACAGGACTCTCTCTATTAATTAAATAAAAAGAGAGTCATGTTAACTACATTTCACTAAAAAAATTATCTTGATTTGTTCTAACCTCAATAAAGCTTGTTCACCATGCAACATGCTAAAAAGACTGCTTGTAAATTCTTATCTGATTAAAAAAGGAAAATATAAATGACCCACGATGAGAAATATCATTTTAAAATTTGATTACTTCACTTAGTGCTGCTCTGAACTTTATCAATAACATTTCCACTTGAGGTTTACCATAATGATTTAGCATATTAAAATATCGAAATTTCATTTGAAAAAAAAATTATGTACCAAAGGTTAATCTAAAAAAAGTATATTATATTATAATCCTTTTAAATAGTAAAGGTATATTTAATTCATATATTAGCAATCTAAAAATGTTCATAGTAATACAGTTTCTGTATACAATGTTCAGTAAACATCAAAGGATCAAAAGTTAATAAGAAGGTCACCATGAGTCCCAAAAAAGGTGTTCAGGGTATACACAGGGACCAGTAAGTAAGTATCAATCAAGTACCAGCATCCAATGATGGACCTTCATGCACTTGATTGACAGGGCTAGCCAGACCAGGTAGTTTTGAAGGCGGTGCTTAAAATCTCTGCCTTTAAATATAAGCTAGGACTACGAAATCACGACTTTGCTGTTCTTGAAAAGAAAGTTGTTATAGGTTTATTTCTATATAATTCTATGCAAAACTTTGATCTGCAGTTATGGCTCCTTGATTTGAACAAACTTTAATCTACAATACCAGAGAATGCTTTTCAATATGATCTAATCATGGTTTTGCTGTTTTTAAGGAGGGAATGTTTAAGACTTGTAATGATTTGTTTTAAGGACATTTTGCAAAATAAACCATACACATTATCCACAACATCTATCTTAGTTTGTGAGACCGTATAAACCGAGGCCCCGTGTCACAGCAGGTGTGGCACGATAAAGATCCCTCCCCGCTCAAAGGCCGTAAGTGCCGACAATAGGCCTAAATTTGCAGCACTTCACCGGTAATGGTGACGTCTCCATATCAGTGAAATATTCTGGAGAGGGATATTAAAGCCATATATGGCGTAACTGATCAAAAAAATACATTTTTGAAAAATACAAAATTAAGTAAAGAAATACAGTTAATACATTTAAATTAAAGCTTTTCATTCAATTCTGAACACAGAGAACACATTGTTTCATCTAATAATACGATTTTATCTTCTCTGTAATGTGTTATTTAAATCTTTTGTATTTTCTTCCCAGTCGGAGAAAATTCCGAGAATCCAAATTAAATTGTGATATCTTTATAACGCAATTGACTTAGATTTTGTAATTTACGGAAAAGTTCTATCTTTATATAAAGTAATGATACAAATAATAAGTTCTTATAATTTTAGTCTAATAATTTTCATTGTACATAAGCCATATATGGCTTTAAACAGTATACAATCAATCAATCTATCTATCTTAGTTTGAGTTCAGCATACATGCATACATCAAATTTCGTTTTATGTTTTTTTCAAAATTGTATTTAAAGGGGGGAAATCTTTTAAGGGTCTACTCGGTATTAGGAGATATAATCAAATTTATCTACTTTTGGGAGGTATTCAAATAATAAATATGATAAACAATCAATTTATATCTTACCTAACCAATATTCTCCCTCCACATTACCGAATCCTTCTTTGTACGAATCCCAGGATCTATAAAAATCTACTGAGCCGTCCATCCGCCTATTGATAACCTACATATATATAATGAAAAAAGTAATAAAATCATTGTAAAAAAAAAAAAAACATACACAAAAAAGATTTTTAATTCAAGGTCGATATATTAAATTCAGAAAAATATATCTTTACCAAAAGAAAATATAGTTAACCTAAAATGAATGAATTATAAAAATTTAATTGTACATCAAACCAAAATATGTATGTCTACATAAAATAGAAAATCATTAAAAAAAATTCTTACCGTCCAACCACCTCCCTCTGTGGTCATGTCACAGTACACCAGTTTCTCTGTCTTCATTTCCGGGTATATAGAGTAGACGCCATCTTTCCCTTTTGTGTTGGGTATGGATTTAAGAATAGAAGCACAGTCTCTTTGTTTTTGAAGTTCTATTTGAAGATAACATATTACACAAACATGATAAATATTGAATTTGGAGAAATAATAGATGTTTCAATCATGTTATTATGATTTTTTCGTGTCAGTATCGGTGTCATGCATTACAAAAGTCGAAGGAATTAAAATTATGTTCCAAGGAAGACTTTAAAGGAAGCTCTAATCACTTCACATTAATGAGCATTAGCACTATCTGAAAGGTAGTTTTATGCCATTAGAGTGAGCTGCTCTAAAAAGTAGGATAGAAAAAATGGACATTTACAGTTAATTACACAATCAATGTTAAATTAAAATATTCAAAACATTATATTAGACCAAGAATAAGTAATTTAATTCGTTGTTTCAATTTAATTCCCCAATGTAAGTAAACAATCTTGATTTTTTTTCATAGATAGTCTATTGTATTTGGATATTTTTACTGCGGATCAAAATAAGACAGGTACCCTATTCTGAAAATGAACTAAATAGTCTCAATATACAAACCTTGATATGATATATTTTCCCCTAAGTTCAGAAAACACTTTTGTTAGTGTTTAGAGCATCCTTAAAAAAGTTCAGCAAAAATCTTTAAGATACTCGGTATTTCTTTTTTCGTCATTGTGCATTTCAAATACTTTTTAATATACCTACTCTGATACTTGTTGAAATGTTTCCCAGTAAGTCTGTAGTGAGACAGAAGAGAAATATCAACAGAGACCGGGGTGTCCACTTTGACGGATGTTTTCAGATGTTTCCAGTTCCAGGGAGTTAACTTCAGTAGAGACTCTACATTTCCTGCAATAATAATCACAAAAATTATCGTATAATTACATCGATACAAAAAAGCATTCTTAATTATAAGTAAGAATTTTTATCCATCTTTTTATATTATTTGATGTTTAGATGTCAATGAAATAACGAAATTAAAAATACCTTTCAGATTGGAATGTGGTGCAATACAAACAATGTTTGTAAAGCATAAAAAGAAACACCACACATAGAGAATACTTTGAGCAAGAGCCATGTTTCTTGTTGTGATATCCACGCTACATACCTAAGTGGATATAATTTATATACTTTATTTCGTCATAGTTAAAATGTAACTTGATATTCTGGTTTCGTGACAACTGGTGTCGATAAATTAATGTTTACTTATAAAGTCAGATAAAGGTAGTACCTTGTATTCCACACGCGTCACTCTGGTAAAGAAATCCCACAGAAACACAACGTTGAAAGTGTACATTGCATTAAATATACACTACTTTTTAAACCGAAATTGGTCAAGTTTTCTGATTTGATATGAAATTGTCTTATGCCACTACTAACTACATTTTTATTGATGCTTTCATATTCTAAGTCAGAGTATAATTTCTTTTCATTTTAATTTATCATATAGTTTCGAGTAGATCAATAAATTGTCCATTTTTAGCTATAGACATTAACTTTTTTTCAAATATGATTCAGAATTCTTGCAATGAATCCGTAACTTTTTTTAATTTGCTTACTAGTATTTTAATCGTAAAAATGTACATGTAGACAATTTGAAAAAATATTATTATACCCCCCGCTTGAAAAGCGGGAGGGTATATAGTAATCGTTAATTCCGTCCGTCTGTACGTCTGTCCGTCCGTCCGTCCGTCTGTCCGTCTGTCTGTCCGTCCGTCCGTCTGTTACGCTTTGGGGTACCCATCTCTTATCCGCAACTCCTCTCATACCACTGAATGAAATTTGATGCAACTTTCACAGAATCTTTATTACATATTGCCATTGTGCACCTCCTATTTTATTTTTTGATCCGACACATATTTTGGGTTTCCCGGCCACAGGAAAACATGGACTTTTTCACCAGTTATAACCATATGGGAGGCGGGGGGTATCATTTAGTGAGCTCATCGCTCACAGTACCTCTAGTTTAAAAAATAAGCATTGTAATAAAATATATCATCCTCACTTCCCTTATGGAGTCTTTGCATGGCTTCGGCAATGCTTATATAAGCCTAGCAAGTTATGTATAATTTTAATTTATGTCCTTAGATTTAAATGACTACACCATAACCATTAACTTTCCGGGACACTGAATTGTAGTTGTAGCAAATTGTACAGAGCTTGATATGTTCCATTCAGAATTAAAACAAGCTATTTCAGAGAATTTGTGTCCCCGCGGCTTCGGGAAAAAAAAGAAGACCAACGGGATTTCGGGGGTGGGGGTTCGGATACCATTGAGTGAATTTGTAGAATTATTAAATGTATACAGCACATGTATATTGAAGCAATTAATAAATGCCAATATGGATATAAAGATTTGATTGCTTATTATCTTTATTATGAGTATAGAAGATTCTTTTGATATAGAATATTTATCACACTGTAATTATGATTTTATGAGTTTGTACAAGCAAGACTCATATCTTTTTTCATATCAGATGATGCTGAATACTATCATTTAATGAAAAAAAAAGTATTTCAAAAATAAAAGAAAGAAAATTGATCAACCGGGATTCGAAACTGGGTCCTATGCATGTCAAGCGAGAGCATACCACTACACCACGGAGCCGCTTAATGCTGTGGAAAATTATATGCAAACATTATGTCACATACATGTATATATTTACGTTAGCTATTGTTAAAATTTTACACAATTCATGGTGTCAAATTTAGCCTTTATTAAACAGTTCTAGACTAAAAGATATGATAAGAATGAAAAGTCCGCCGACAACTTGTATTATACGTAATAATTCTCCACATGCCCCTGCGCTAAAAGAAATAGTGCAAAGCGACACTTAATACTAATTAAACAAACAGGGCGGGACACTTTGAGAGGGGTGAGAGAAATCCTAGGGAGGTTTGGTATAAAAAGTCGTTGCAAAAGTTCAAAATCTTTTTGAAATATCGCCCAAAAACGATAGTGTTACACACAAACAGAATGTGTACATTTACGACCTTTTTGAACTTTGACCTTTTGACCTCAAAATCAATAGGGGTCTTCCGTAGGCAACGGGGAGTTGTTGTGCAAATTTTCATTGCAAAAGCTCAAAGGGTTCTCGAAATATAGCGCGGAAACGAAAGTGTTATAACAGACAGAATTTGCGAATTTATGACTTTGACCTTTGACCTTTTGACTTAAAAATCAATAGGGTTCTTCTTTAGTCCATAGGGGGTTGCTTTGCAAAATTTCATTGCGAAAGCTCAAAGGATTCTCGAAAAATCGTGTGGAAACGAAAGTGTTACAGACAGAAAGAAAGAAGGATGAGATTGATGTGATAAAAGTGCATGGTGAATAAATATTGAAAAAAAAATTTCGACAAGTAAAAATTGGTATGAATTTGCTACAGTTGCGAATGGCACAATGATAATTATTTTTCTACATTTTACACCGCACCATGCAGCAAAGCCTACTCTGCAGAAACCATAGGCATTATCACGTGACAAAGATCCAGCACTTTGAGATTTTTTTTCAAAGTGCGTTGAATTTGGGACACATTCAACGCATTTTGAAATAAAAAAAATTAAAGTGTGTTTAGAGTGTACATTAACATTCAAGCCATGGAGAAAGTTAACGCACTTTGAAAAAACAATATATTACAAAAATTCTAGACTTAGACTTTAGTAATTGAGGGACTCAATTTGTAATAAATCATATCTTTCAAAAATTTTTTTTTATTCTACGTGTATTAATTTAAACTCATTGAGAACAAGGAGAAGACGAAGCAGCAGACAAGTACAATGTAGAATATCTCCCAGCCCATTTTTTTCCGTATACATATAGCCGTCGGTAACAAATTGAACGTAGCCTCCACCCCCCCCCCCCAAAAAAAAAGGTAGACCCAGTTTTCAATGCATAAATTATGTATATCTTTGCAAAACAAGCCCCCTCCCGGTACCGATGCTACCTATATATGCTACACCCAAATATATGTATTTGCGTAACTGGTATGAAGTTGAAAACTTTCAATAAATTTTAGCTGACATAAAATGCATGCAAACTGGAAAAAAATAAGTACAGTAAAACATTTAAGAGAGAAAGAGTTTTCAAATTATGGAAAAATCAAAATCGCTCATTTTCACATCCTGAAGTTATCCAACAGCTAGGTTCAATTATTTATCATTCATTAGATTTTAAGAATAGGGATCATACACATTTTTTTTAAAGTGCGTTGATATGGTCGATATTAACGCACTTCAAAAGGAAATATTGTTTTTTCAAAGTGTATTGATTTGTTCCCAGATTTAACCCACTTTGAATTTTTTTCAAAGTGCGTTGTAACACAGCTCTCAACCGGCATTTAATTACACACATGGTTGCGTCTCCAAAAAGTGGAAAATTCTTGTCCCGTTAAACAACGCTTAAACAAACAAACATAATATATTTACGATGAATAATTATGGTGTTTATTTTTACAAATAACATCACATGTATAATAATTTGTTGTATTTCAACACATTCTATTCTAAAAGGCTCCAATTATGATATCGTTACAAGACACATGTCGTTTAAGTCGTAACCAGATATACTTTTCACTGTACAAACTGTATTCCTTGCAGAGGTTCGTGTTTTTCACCTCATTCAAGAACATCAACTATTTATTGACCACGGACACATGTGGACTGTATTTTTTTCCTTTAAATGTGAAAATAACGCTTGTCTTATTTTTCACAATAACATATCTAGCTGTATATTGTGATATTTTTTCATGGTTTGAATGTAATCCAGGAATTGTTGGTCAGAACAAGAGGCAATAGTCAGTCCAGATATTTCTGTTTGGGGTAGCTGTCCTTTGAACACTTCAATGAGTGATCTTGTGGAATATCTCTCAAGCACATAAAATATTACTCCTTTGATATAATCACATTTGTCAGTTACTCGTATCCAATTTTCTTTGTCTTTAATATTTTCCTTTGAAATTGCTCTTTTCAAAAATTGGACAATTTTATACCACATCTTCATCCAGCAAAGCGCAAACGTAACAATTTGAGTTGGACATTTGCCAATACCATACTCAGGCCATCTAAAACAAGGAAATTCAAACACGTAACCCCATGTGTTCATATCCCTTGCAAAGAAGCAAGGCATATCAAAATCAAACAAGCATTTGGCGAGGTAGTTCAGAACTTCAGTTATGCATTCTGCGTCAAATCTTGAATGTGTACATTTGTTTGATCCGTAGACATGGAGTAGAAAAGCTGTTTTAAGAACATATGACGACAAATTCATGCATTTTCCTGGAAAATTAACCTCTCCAATCAACAAACATTTCAAAATTTTGTAGCATTCTTTGTGGTGTGTGTCCATATTTTTCATCAATTCCAGTTCTAGTGCTGCAAAAGTAATAAACCAACAAGTTGGCTGTGGAAAATGTTCAATGTGGCAGGATTTTGTGATGATGTGGCAGCCATGGCTGTGAAGCATATCTTTGAATTGTGAAGGAAAAGAAGACCGAGAGGCTATGGTTTCTGGACAGGGGTGTTTTATGGCCATCATCAGGTCCACGCCAATATTCACATCGTTCAAAGGAACTAGACCAGACTCTGTTGACGCCGGCATTTCTGGTATAATTAAACAGTAATTTTTGTTTCTCATTAACTTTTGAGTACAATTTTCCATTTGAATTTTCTATACATAATGGATTCGATTTGGATACAGATGAAATATTATTCCAAAAATTGCCCACAAGTATTTGAGGATTCCCTAAATAGTTTCCATACGTTTCCTTGTTCATGTGGCAATTACACATATACCTCTGACCAAAGTGGACTCCTTTTTTGAGTTCCAGTTTTTTATACCACGGATTGCACCCGTCATGTATTTGTAATTTGTCAGCCCCAGATAGTGCCTTCAAAATGACCATAAAGTCAAACTCGTCCGTTTTTCCAATTTTCGTCCCTTCAAAGAAGCTTCCAGAGGGAATGATTTGCGAAATTTTGAAAACTGGCTTTGCTTCTCCAACCAGATTACACGTTTTAGCGACAAAATCCCTCACGCATGATTCAATTAATTTCGTAGTGTCTTCTTCTTCTTGAAGCTTACATCTGGACTTGTACAAATGTTTAAGAAAGGCACGTTGCATAGCGTCATTTTGATCTAAAATTATAAGTTAGGTACATTCATTCAAAGTAATGAAAACAAGAAATTATTTGGTGTGACACACACAACCTCGCACAGACACATATCATTACAAAACTTAAATTTATTAAAAAGACTCGGGTAATCACTGTTTAACTCAACAAAGAAGCTAGTACATACCTCCCATTGCTCTAAAATATGAGATGAATACCTTTTTACACCTTTTCACACCTTTAACCTAATCTTTTTCCATTGTTAGACTTCCTCTTTCACTTCGGTTCGGTATACGTATGGTAACCCACATTTGCCACTTAAAAAGCCAAGGGTAAAACAGTTTTTTTTCATGTTTCAGTATATTTGACAGAATTTGTTTGTTAATTCTGGGAATAGTCTGGGAGCTAAGTTATATTAACATGTTTTACATATTTTAGTTTATTTCTGTACAAAATGTGTACAATTGTGGTTCATGTGAATTTCAGGCATTTTAGTTTAACGTTTTGACACTTTATGATTCATTTAGCAAACACTGTTGTGGAGCCGGTAAAGATTGATATTACCTTTTTTTTTGTATTTAAATATTTTTGAAATTCATGAGGTTAAATTTTGATGCAGAATTTACACAGAAAGTGAAAAACGATAAGTAAAGCGAGAGGAAACGTCAGAGCTTAAAAAGCAAAGATTTTTATTTTTCTAGGATAATTATGGCTTTGGTTATTGCTCTGCTTTTATTTTTAATGACTTCATGTATATAAATCAAATTCGGTATCGTTATTTCCTTACTTGTATCGTTTTAATCTAACACTAATTAACTTTACTCAAAGGAAATAGATTAAATGAATAGATTAAGAGACTTTTTCTGGGTAGAATACTATTCCAAGCTTAAGTTTGTATCTAACTTTGGCACTACAATACCCAAGTTTCCAAGGCTCTATTGTGCAGTATGTCAATCCTATAAATACCAGCATTTTATATCAATGGGCCATATCAAATTTAATATTTGCCATTACATACCTTAACAATCATGATTTATATTTAACTTCGACTCCATTCCGATGTTTTTTAGTTTAACTAATCAAGGAAAGTTATATATTCACCATGGAGAGCTATTAATTATGACAAGAAATGCAAATTTTAATTGTTTTCAAGTCATTTAATGATTCATCACAAATACATACAACAGAAATTTTTTTTATTTATATTACAAACATTCTCCCCATCTTTTGGGTCTGATAGAACAGAAAATCTTTTTGCTTATAGAATACACAGTCTCATCTTTTTGGTCTGATCATCATCCTCGGGAACTTCAAGGAACGATAATCATTTCCAAAGTTGTACCAGACGACAGAGGCCCACGTTCTTACAGCAGATCTGTGATAGGGTCCGTTCAGGTTACAGGTTTGACATTCCTGAAACCACCAGCCTGCTTTTCTTTCTACGGCACATGATTTTCCACAACTGTCGTTGGTTGTCTTGATTTTGTGTCGATAATTTCCACCCATTAAAATATTATAAGGCCCTAGACTATCTCCTTCAATAAATTTTATCCTTCAAAAGGGATTTTTTTTGCTATACACATATTTAAAAATTTATTTCAATTATGTACCTTAAGTCACCATCATCAGTAAAGATGTGAAAAAATGTGAATCAATTGTATTATTTTTTGCTTAAACGCGAAATGTAAATTTTTTATACAGTTTCAATGGAATAATGAAACTTCAATAACACTTTTACTTTGCATTGTTTTTTTTTTTTTTTTTTTAGAAAAGTCTTAATAAGTAGATGATGGCATGCATTTATTTGTGTCAAAGGGGAATTAAATGCATGGACTTATATGTACCTGCAGAACCACTGTATCCATTTATTCTCAACTTGTATTTGTTTGACTCGCTACCCACAGAAAAAGTTGAATACTTGGCGAACGCCTAGTTACCTGAGAATTTTGAAGGTCCACTCTTAGTTCTTGTTGCAGCCCGGAGGACCGGGCTGCTCTATACATATAAGTGTAAGTGTTAGTATATGGGGATTGAAGTGGGAGAAGTTATTCCGAATGAAAGGTTTTCTGAACATTAAAAAGATTGTTAATCAGAATGTCCTTTCCCTTTACAAATTACGAGATATTCAATATTTTTACCTCCTTAAAGTGAATCTGAAAAAATATATATGTTTTTCATAATTAATATAAAAAGGTGCATATCATGTTCTAGCAAAAAAAACGACACGTCCCTTTTTTAGAACGTCGAATTTTACTTATCGCATAAAAACGTAATCTACACAGTTCGTATTTTATATTTTTAAAGTGAAATACATACTAGTATTTAAAAATAGGTGATGCATGTGTCTGATTTCAATTTATATTGTATGCAGCCAACATTTACTCGAGGAATTGATAAAGTTTAAAATGGTATCGTTTTCATCATTTAGACGCATGCCTTTTTCACGCATGTCGAAGCGGTTTGATGATCAAGACATTTCCATTGTTTACTTTATTTATTTCCCGGGCGACAATTGATGGTTACATCAATGTTTTCTTGTTGTTTTCTTGTGGTGATTATATGAATGGCTACATCACCTAGATAGAACATTTCATTGAAGAACAAAAACTAGTATTTATTATTCAGAAAGAGAATATATTGAAGACAGTACTTTTATCGGTCATCGGAAAACCATCGTCGGAAACACATGGTCGGTCTCGCTTAAGAGAAGCGAGACCGACCGTGGCTTTCCGACGATGCGGAAAACAAAATTTTCCGTACCTTTTAAAAATATGTATTTTTTTTTTACTGTAGAGTTTTTTTAAGATTCATACAAAAGAGCACCCTCACAATAGAATGTGTTCGCGAACTTATCTTAACGGCTTTTTTTTGAAACCTCAAATAATAGGTTTAAGTTACATGTACCTAGAGATTTACTTGCATAAATTTAAAAAAAATATATGATATATAAGACCAAAATTAAAATGATCCCCTTCTTCTACCCGTTTATGTTATCACATGATTAAAAATAAAGATAATAATACTTTAAAATACTCGTAAAAAGTAAAAAAAAATTTTGGATGCCTGGACATATATATAACGTGAGTCCAAATTAAATATAAAGAAATCCAGTCAGTAGTAATCTAATCCATATTTGAAAAGGACATAATTCAAACGACGGTAATAATAATCTCTTACCTAGCCAGTATTCTTCATACATTACCATTACCAAACCGTTCTTTGTAGGATTCCAAAAATCTATAAAAATCAACGGACCCATTCATTCTTCTCTGAATGACCTAATTTTTAAAATAAAAAACGCCACGTTGCTAAAAATGCTAAATAAATATGAAAACAATAAAAATAAGTACATGTCAAGAGTACTACTCTTGGTGAATGTATACCACGCTTGGTTACAAAAGTACTTCTAAACATTCTAAACGTTCCTTGCAATCTACTAAAAACGCTTATACCGCTGAAAATGTTGTGTTGAAATTTGTAAATGAATGAAGCAAAATCAGACTTCTGAGAATTCCGTAATTTTCAGACTTATTCAAGAGCCCTACCCACATATTATCTTTAAAGGGAAGAAGGGCCTTTAGCTGAAAAAATACTTGTCATTAAATTTTATTTTTTTTCTTTTGTATTTCTAACTTTAGTATGTATAAATACTTTAATGTAGTTATATCATAAGGTATCTAGCTTTATTTATATAGTATCAAAGTGAGTTTTGATTCTCCGTGTTTCTGGCTCATTACTCTGCCCATAATTGGATTTTGTCAGCGTAGATAAAACTATGACAGTGAACATGTGTCTTCAATTTGGCATGTGACATTTGCAAAATAAGCGGAATTATACATACCTATAGATATTTTTTATCAATAACCATGTAAAAAAATTAAATTGTGTTCCCTATTTCACAAAATACTCCACCATGTTCTGATTATGACCAGTTTTAATGTGTTATAATACCGCCCATGTTTTACCATGTATAATCTTACTGCACTAAGAGATTGACTATGACGTCAACAACTCACGCAGCACGCACAGTGTAGAAAAACAGAAGAGTGATTCAATCTATTCCTCTATTCCGTAATTTGATCATATTTGCAAGAATGTTTAAATCTTTTTAAAAATTTCATACAAGATGGCGAACGCAAAAAAAAAAAGCTGCCAACAAATTATACAAGTACTCTGACATAATTAAACTTGAATCATTTGACATGTGTCCTTCTTCCCCTTAAGTGGACTCTATCTTTTTAATTTAACTGTGAAAATGACTATGAATTTTCACACAAATTATACAAGTGATTCAATCAGATTTTGTACATTTATTATCAGAGACTATGACGTTATTAAACTTGAATCATGTGACCATGTGTCCTTCTTCCCCCTTACGTTGACTCTATCTTTTTAATTTACTTGTGAAAATAATGACTTTGAATTTTCACAACAACATATCGAGGTCTATACGAGGGCTGTTCAATAAATAATGTCCTCGGTGCTCAGAAAGAAGCAAACGACGCTTTTCAATGATTTAGTCTTCATTATTTTACTTATTAATCTCTTTTAACTCAAACACATGTCCGTAACATTTTTATCCATTTTCTGATTGTTTTTAGAACTCATTTTTGGGTACATCGTCGCAAGCCACAGTCCGGAGTCTTCGTATATAGCTCTCTCCTACCCGTGGCTGCTTGATCACAAAAAGTGTCGTAATCTTGAATATTTACGCCTCTCTATTGTGCGTCATATTCAGTCAGTGGCAAGTTTTGTTTCCATCGCAATCGAAACCAACAGCTGACGTCAACAGTATACAAGAAATATTTCCTGTACTGCGATTGGATATTGAAAGGTCGCGATAAAGTTCATCATCCTACTATGCTTTACTCGCATTGGTCAATATTTTAATGAGCTACGAAGAATTCTTTCCTCGTTCAGCCACGGTCAGATGGGAGATGAGCGTACATTTTGGCTATGGTTTGCGACGATGTTTTGAGTTGGACCCTTGGTATACTGGAAAATGGCAGATCCAATGATTTCCTGGACTTGTTTTTTCCTTCTGAAAGGTGTTTTTTTCAAGTTTGGAAATAGAAACAAGTCAAAAGGTCAAAGATCTGGCAAATATTGTTAATGTGAAAAAAAAAAAACATTAACTTTCTGTTTTTCCCGAAACCCCTTTACTCTTCAGTGCATGAGGATTTGGACGCTGTCATGAAAAAATTTAATGTAGTGGATTCCTGATTCTGGGTCCTTCCTCTAATAAACCTTTCGATTTCTTTGCAAAACAATTCTTTCTAGACTCCTCCAGATAATAAACTGTCTCCCCGAATACGAACTGGAACAACAATACCACTAATATTTAAGCAAATTGCATATGAATCTGTCTTTGTGCTCTTGCATACGTTTGCTTTTTTCAGAACTTTGCAGTTTTTATCAAATACATCTTATGGTAAATTTTGTTTTGATGATTTTAAGCAATAGGTTCATGATCCAATAATGTTTGAATATAAAACAAACGTGGATAACTACAATTACTGATATTTTAAAATAATTGTTTTAAAGACTTTCGTACACACAGTCGTTTTAACTCATTTTTCAAATTTAGAGGGTGACCTTTGAGTACTAAGCTTTTTTTTCCTTCAAACGTTTCTTTGAAACAGTGTAAATTACTCCCGATATGATTTCTACCAAAATTGCTATGTGTCTTAAAGTCAATCATATATCATCAAATATTATTTGTTGAAATTTGGCAAACAATACATAAGTTGTTATAATTTTTGTTGGCAAGGAGCTCGAGGGTACCCATTTTTGATGTCCATTATATAATTTTTTATCATTGAAATCCACCTGCTCATTTGTCTATAAAACAGGCATCGGTTGCTGTAAATGACACATATTTCAGTGAATATTTCTTTGGGACTTTTAACAAGTTTTACCGGAGCTTTAATGTAGCCTTTATTTACACTCTAGTTTACTGATTCTTTACCATTCATTTATAATGCATTGTCTCGAATAGCCCTTTTTTCCAAGCTTCTCACGATGAAACTATTTGATGAAAAGTGGTCACATAAACTGTTTAAAATTAAGTAGATTCAATAATGAGAGAAAGTCGTAACCCCATGAGTTCATTTCTCTTGCAAAGAAGCAAGGCATATGAAAATATTAAACAAGCAATTGGCGACGCAGTTGAGAATTTTAATGGTGCACTTTGCGTCAAATCTTGTTTGACCCATAGAAATGGAAAAGAAAAACTGTTTTAAGAACATATATGTACATGTATTATGTCAGACATTTTCCTGGAAAACTAACCTTCCCAATGAACAAACATTTAAAAAAAATTGTAGCATTTTTTGGGATATGGGTAAATACTTTCATCGATTCCAGTTCTACCTCTGCAAAAGATAAGTTCAATTTCAAAGAATATGACCTCGGAAGTTTTGGAAGGGACCATATACTAGACATATCGATTCCCTGACAGTTAAGTAACTGTTTGTATTTAGAATACCGTATGTTAATGATATTCCCTTACCATCAAATACACATCTTTTATACAAGTATTTCTTCATACATCTTGACTGAATAAGTATAATTGCAAATTGCATGAAAAGTCTTTATTCTTATGAAAAGACAATATTATCCCTTGTGCCTGATCATCATTCTTGCATTCTTCAAGGAAAGATGAGCATTTCCAAATTTGTACCAAACAACAGAGCCCCATGTACTGACAGCAGATCTGTGGTAAGGTCCGTTTAGGTCAGAGCTTAGACAGCTTTTGAACCACCATGCCCCTTTATAAACCACAGCACAGGATTTACCCCATGAGTCATTATCTCGGTCTTTCGTGGAAAACAGTCCACCATTATGGTCACCTAGGCTATCCCCTGAAATTCATTCATGTATCGTTAATTTTTGGTTCATATTTATTTCAAAGTTAATATTTCTTCGGCTTTAAATTATTTAGACAGTGTTTTTGTGGATAAACCCATTCATGAATTTAAAAGAAATTGTTAAGGCAGTTTTCATTAAGGAACATATACACTTTTATTATGATGAAAATTGAGCCTATTTTTACCTGCAGTTCCACTGTACCCACTAACCGTCAACTTGTATTTTTGGGATTCGTTTCCCACTGAAAATGATGAATACTTGGCGAATGCCTTTTTGCCTAAGAAGTTCTGAAGGTCCACTCTCAATTCTTGCTTTTCATTTTTCGTAAGGATATGAAGGGCATTGTTACCTAGAAAAATTATGTCAAGTTTTTTTCATCATCAAAGATCAACGTTCAAAGATCTTCCTCTTTTACCCGTTATGACATCTCATTATTGAAATTCAAATGGAAATATGCATCAAAAGAAGTGAATGATATTAGACAACGTAACATTTTTCGAACGCAAGAAGAAAACAAATTTAAAAAAAAAGATACAATAAATGAAAAACTTATCTCTATCTGTAGAGATGACAGAATTCAAATGATGGTAAATAAATCAATTTTATCTCTTACCTAGCCAGTATTCTCCATTACCATTACCAAACCCTTCTCTGTAGGATTCCCAAGATTTATAAAACTCAACTGATCCATCCATCCTCCTTTGAATAACCTATTCAAAAGGTTTTTGTCAAGGATATATTTGCTTTGTAAAAAAAAAAAAAGGAAAAATACTCCAAGACCTTTACACGGGATTGATAGAATAAATATTTATATGCAAAAGAGTGAAGATTTTTTTAAAACAAATTCCTACCGTCCAGCCCCCTCCCTCGGTAGTCATGTCACAGTACACCAGTTTCTTTGTCTTCATATCCGGGTATATAGTGTAGACGCCATCCTTCCCTTTTGTGTTGGGTATGGATTTTAGAATAGAAGCACAGTCTCTTTGCTTTTGAAGTTCTATTAGAAGATAACATATTACACACATATTATTTAAAAGGAATTTGGAAGATAAATAGATGTTTCAATTAAGTATTGTTATGTTTTTGAGTCAGTATTGGTGTCATGCTTTACAGAAGTCGAAGGAATTAAAGTTATGTTCCAAGGAAGACATTTAAGGAAGCTCTATAAACACTTCACACCAATGCGCTCTATCTGTTGGGTAGTTTTTTTCCATTAGAGTGAGCTTCCCTAAAAAGTAGGATAGAAAAAAATGGTCATTTATAATTTTAAATTAAGTAGACTCAATATGCAAACCTTTATATTGATATACTTTTCTCAAAAAACACCCTTTTTGGCGTGTTTACAGCTTCCTTAAAAATAGTTTAGCAAAAATCTTTAAGATACTCGAAATTTTTCCCGTCCATGTGTTTTTCATGTTTTTCAAATACTTTTTAATATACTTACTCTGATACTTATTGAAGTGTTTTCCAGTAAGTCTGTAGTGAGACAGAAGAGAAATATCCACAGAGACCGGGGTGTCTACTTTGATTGATGTATCCAAGTGTTTCCAGTTCCAGGGAGTTAACTTCAGTAAAGACTCAACATTTCCTGAGATAATAGTCACAAAAATATCGTAGAATATACTTCAATATAAAAGAGCACTCTATATTATTTAATTTTTCAATGTCGATAAAATAACGATATGAAAAATACCTTTCAAATTAGAATGTGGTGTAATACAAACAATGTTTGTAATGCACAAAAAGAAACACCACGCATAGAAAATACTTTGAACAAGAACCATATTTCTTGTTGTGATATCCATGCTACATAACTAACTTGATATACTATATATACTTTATTTTGTCACATTAAAATGTAACACGATAGTCTAGTTTCGTGACAACTGGTGTCGATAGAGGCATGTATTATTTATAAAGTCAGATAAGTACCTTATATTCGACAGTCTTCATTCTGATGAAGAAATCCAAACGTTGAAAGGGTACATTACATTGAATATATACTAATTATTTTATTATAATTGGCCAAGTTTTTTGATTTGATATAAAATCGTCGCATCCCATTAGATTAGTGCCTACATTTTTATTGATGTTTTTTAATCCTAAATCAGAATATATTTTCTTTTAAAATATATTTATCCTATAGTTTCGAGCAGATTGATAATGCATTAACTTTTTTAAAAATATAATCCAGAATTCTTGCAATGAATTATTAACATTTTTAATTTGCTTATTTGAATTGTAAATAAAGAATGTACATGTCCATACTAGACAAATTAAAAACAAAATATATTTGAAAAAAGTAAGCCTTGAAATAGAATATATCATCCTTCTTTCCCCCAGTGGAGTCTTTGGCTTCAGCAATGCTTATAAGCCTAGCAATTTATGCATAATTTAATTTATGTCCTAATATTTAAATGACTACACCTACACCAATAACTTTCCGGAACAGTGCAATGTAGTTGTAGCAAACTGTCCGGAGCTCGATATGTTCTGTTTAAAATTAAAATAAAGGCCACTTCCCGAAAACTAGGATTTTTTCCCTAACATAAAGTGCTTTTAAAAACTTGCTAATGCCATGAACGTTGGCAAAGTTTCGTTATTTTGCGAACGTGAAATTAAAGTCTTAAAAAGAGAACAGAAACGTCAGGAACGTAGCATAGGGGTGGGGTAGGGGGAGACTGCCCTCTTTGTTCAGAAAATTTTTAACTAATATAGTAATATGTCCACTGAAAGCTAGTCCGCTTGCCCCTCTATTTGTTGTAGTATGATAAAAAAGGGCAATGTCGTATATTTGAATAACAAGAAATAAGTACAGAAAGAAGTTGGACACTTAACACACACCCCCGTAAAAATAGGATTTTACAGTTTGAGAACTTTTCAAGTATGTTTATTTTTATTTCATGAGGCTGCCCTCCGCCCCTGTTTTTCAAAAATGATTCTTCTTTACTGCGAGAAAAAAATACTTACAAATAAATTCGTTTAAAATAGATTAATTTAAATACGATTAGACAATTATTTGTGATTTTCCGAATCTCGTTATAATTATATACATGTGTTAAGCTTATTTCAACTTATACGCTTTTGCGAAGCGGTTTTTAAAAAAACGCAAACTGCCCCAAGTTATGTTATATCATATTACACAAGAAAACATTGATGTAAGCATCAATTGTCGCCCGGGAAATATATGAAGTAAACTATGGAAATGACTCTTGATCATCAAACCGCTTCGATATGTGTGAAAAGGCATGCGTCTAATTGATGGAGACGATAGTCGCGGATATTTGGCAATCGCAACTTCTCGGGCCTTTCCGACTAGCGGAAAAACGACGAGGTTGTTTTTCCGACCTCTGACGGAAAGACCCGAGATGATGCGATTGGGATATTTGGAAAACTTATAGTCGGATAAATGTCAAACAAAAACGATACCATTTTAAATTTCAATTCCTCGAGTAAATGTTGGCTGTATAAAATATAAATTGAACTTAGACACATGCATCACCTATATTCAAAAATGTATTTAATTCTCAATTTTAGAATATAAAACACAAACTGTGTAGAGTACGTTTTTATGCGAGAAGTAAAATTCGATGTTCTAAAAAAGGACCTGTCGTTGTTTCGATAGAAAATGATAAACAACTTTATATAGTAAATATGAAAAACATATATATTTTTGCAGATTTACTTTATGGAAGTAAATGTATTATGTATTTTGTAATTTACAAAGGGAAAGAACATTCTTATTAACAATTTGTTCAATGTTTAGAAAACCTTAAATTTTGAATAACTACACATGTACTCCCACCCCAATCCCCATATAACAAACCTCAAACGTATATATATAGAGCAGCCCGGTCCTCCGGGCTGCAATAAGTTGAAATAAGCTTCATTCCTTATATATTAATATCAATGTAGACAATGGGACAATTTTTCCATTTATCCTTCGGGAAAAAGTTTCAAATATCGCATATTTTAAAAGTTAAGGTCAAGCGGAGTAATACGTGTTTTTGACGTAACTCATTGTGACGTAGGCAAGTTATGTTATACAAAATGGATAAAGCCGTTTAACCAATCAAATGAAGTGTTACAACTAAAATTAAATTATTTAAGAAATAAGGTATCATTTTTTTAGTTTTATTGAGATGTAAAACGGGTTGGTCACGTGATCGAATCCCATAAAGCCCGAAGGGCTTTATGGAAGATTTGATGATGTGCCAACCCGGTTTACATCTCAACAAGAGGCCCAGGGGCCACAGCGCTCACCTGAGCACATCAGCAAAGAAAAAGCAGATATCGGATCAGAACTGAAAGTTTACCGAGATTGGGGTGGGGTGGGTGGGGGTGGGGGTTGAATTTTACCTTGCCCCAGGGGTTATGATTTGAATGAACTAGAATCTACACTACCTGAGAATGAATCCATATAAATATTACTAATTATGGCTTTGAAGTACTTGAAAAGATTTTAAAAGATTTTCCCTATATATTCCTCTGTAAAACTTTGGTTGGCCATTTTGGCCCCTCCCTAGCCCCAGGGGTCATGATTTGAACAAAATTGAATCTATGCTACCCGAGGATAATTTCAAATAAGTTTCATCTTTCCTGTCTCAATGGTCCTTGAGAAGAAGATTTTTAAAGATTTTTCCTATATATTCCTATGTAAAACTTTGATCGGTCATATTGGCCCCACCCTACCCCCGGGGGTCATGATTTGAACAAACTTGAATCATAACTACTTGAGGATGATTTCACATGAGTTTCTTTTTCCTTGTCTCCATTGTTCTTGAGAAGAAGATTTTTAAAGATGTTTCCTATATACTCCTATGTAAAACTTTGATCGGCCATTTTGGCCCAACCCTTCCCCCGGGGGTCATGATTAAAACAAACTTGAATCTACATTACCTGAGGATGATTCCACATGAGTTTCATCTTTCCTGACCCAGTGGTTCTTGAGAAGAAGATTTTTAAAGATTTTTCCTATATATTTCTATGTAAAAATTTGATCGGTCATTTTGGCCCCACCCTACCCCCGGGGGTCATGATTTGAACAAACTTGAATCTACACTACCTGAGGATGATTCCACATTAGTTTCATCTTTCCTGACCCAGTGGTTCTTGAGAAGAAGATTTTTTAAAAATGCCATTAATTTTTCTCTAATTCATAATTATCTCCCCTTGGAAAAGGGCGTGGCCATCCATTTGAACAAATTTGAATCCCCTATACTCAAGGATACTTTGTAGCAAGTTTGGTTGAAATTGGCCCAGTGGTTCTTGAGAAGAAGATGAAAATGTGAAAAGTTTACGACGACAACGACGACGGCAACGACTACAACGACGACAGACGACGGACAAATTTTGATCAGAAAAGCTCACTTGAGCCTTCGGCTCAGGTGAGCTAATAAAACTCAAAAAATGATACCTTATTACTTATATTTACATTTGTGACTTATTCATACTTTTAATTTGCCTGATTGTTACTTTTAACGTGAGAAATGCGTTATTTTTCAAACCCAACGGCATATATGTAATCCACTAAACGCGCGTCGGACCTTTATGACGTAACACAGAGATTACGTCGAACGTTTATCCAAACGCACATCTATGACCTCTTGACCCCGTACCTGTATTTATACAGTTATAAAAACGCTTGCTTTCAGTAGTGTTATATAAAGGAAAACATTTGCAAATGTAAATATATGTAAATAAAAAGAAGGCACTCGCCCTGTATACATTGTGAACAGTTTTTAGTTCTGTATCTCCTTTTGTAAATCAACAAATGAAGTTCAAATTTTTGTTGATCATTTAAATTGCTTTCATTAGGAATTGTAAGGATAAAAATTGGTTTTGAATAAATCAGTTGAAACTGTGTCCATGTCCATTCAAAATAATAATTCTTAAAGTTATATTTAACAAATGTATCATTTCACAGATTCAATCCAGTTTCGCGTATTAATAAACTACATACTTTTGATTTATGGTTTTAATTAAAAGCATACACTAACTAAATTATCTGAATTTTGAGATATTCAAATAGTTTAGAATACAATTTGTATCTTTTCTGTTTTCCTCTTTATAAGAAGTTTTATTCAAGTCACTTATAAAAAAAGTAATCGGCTTTTGAGAAAAAAAAACGTTTGCAAAAATTCTTTAAGCCCCACACTCAAACAAATTCTTCACGCCAAATTTCATGTGCTTGAGTGTTTTGTTGACCCGAGTTGACGGCAGGTTGAATTGAAATAACTACTAGTATCAACTTGTAAGTTTCAAATATATTTTAGTTCAAAGCCTTATGTGCATCTTGATCGTGCAGATGAACATACAGTTGTATTTTTCTACAATGTAGAATTTTTAGAAAATCAGAGAAATTGGATTTATTCAATCATATAGTTATTAATGTCTCAAATAAAACCAATAATTTGATAAATCCCCGAAACTAAAAAAGAATTAAACTGTCATTGATGTACGTGTAGAGGGCCCTGGATCTTAAGCTAAAGATCCATATACTATTTAGCAGGCTTAGGGTAATGTTAGTTGTAATGGTAATGTATACATGTAGCTACTGAAGAACTGCGAACGATAGTATTGTTCTCCCGCCTACCCTAAGTCAGTTTTGAAAACTTAACATAATCAAATGTTTATTTATAATTTTAATAGACATTTATATGGTTTTTCATAAAACATTACTTATTTGGGAAAACAAAGAGAGATAACTCTATAATTTTGGAAAAACTTGAGGTTTTCATTATAGAAATCAACGGAAAATGGAAAATACTTTAAAAATCTCCCCCA